CTTTATCCTTCACGGGCGGCCTTATATATGGGGCTCATATTTGGTGGAGGTACTTAACCGGGTACAAGGTATCCCCCTGTATATTAATCTGCCGCTTGGGCTCCCCTATTACTATAATACCATAGGAAATGTTACAATGAAAGTATGCATGGTAATACATTAATAAGAGTGATCTATGTTCAAACCCAAAAATTTTGCCTCCTCTCGTTATCGAATTGATCCATTAATTGACGTTAACTAGTAAACTGTGATCTGGAGTGGTTTTAGAATGATTAAAACGTAAAAGCACAGTTTTTCTTTCATTTAACAAGAGACCATTGTCTGAGAACCACTTATGGGTTCTTTTTATTTCATCAGATGTTTCATTAACTGTGGCTCTAATATTTTCCTGAGTTATCAATAAAGACGTGTCATCAGCATACATAACGAACTGATCACTATAACAATAATTCAAATATATAATATATAAGAGTGGACCTAATATAGAACCCTGAGGAACCCCGAGGAACATGAAGTACTGGTGATAGTTCGAGAGAGATAGTGCGAACTTTAAGGGACTGTATCTTAACAAGGGATGCTCCAATGAAGTTTCTTTATATGAAAGATCCTATCTTTTTTTCGATGAGGAATCACCTCCTTAAATGTTTTACACTTATTTAGTTACACCCTGTATTTTCCAAACAGGAAATACTCACCCTTTTCCGCATTTTCGAACGGTGAACTAATAGTCGGAGGTATTGGATTTGATATCAGGTTTTCATCGTAGAGAAAAATCGGACTGGAATCAGTGCCAGCCGAATGCGAACAGACACTTGAATCGTTATGTAAGGTGGACCCACCGCTGGCGAGTAGAACTTGCTTATCCGCTTCGATGCCATACGAGTTATGGATATGTTTCTTGAGTACTCCCACGCTGAAATACGTACGAAAATTAGTCGAAATGTTTGGTTTTATGAAATGATATGGAAGAAATAATTTATTATTTCTTCCATATCATTATTTATTTATTAATAACTCTCAATTTGGCTTCAGAAACTTCCGCTAACAGTACAGGCAGTTCTTAATGTTGTCGGTGGCGTTGTAGAATCACTTAAACAAGGCAATCGTACAGCTATAATGCTGTGCGATCTTTCGAAAGCTTTTGACTGTGTGTCACATGACATTCTTTTGGAAAAACTAAACTATTATGGTGTTAGAGGAATTCCCTTGAAACTTATTAGTTCTTATTTTCCCAATAGAGAACAAAGCGTTTCAGTGAACGGTAAAACATCAGACTTTCAGATTGTTAGTCATACGGTACCCCAAGGTTCGGTTTTGGGCCCTCTCCTTTTTATCATTCATATCAATGACCTCAGCTGCTTTATGTCACCTTATATATTTATTATTTCTGAGAAAGACAACGTAACCTTGGATGCTTCACTGACTTGTGCTACTAATAAGGCAAAAGAATGGTTTGCAGCAAACAAATCAAAATTGAATAGCAATAAAACACAAATAATGCAAATATCAGCAACCATTCAACTGTTAATCAAGAAACAAAAAGCATAAAACTGCTTGGCTTAGTGCTGGACCACAGACTGAACTGGCAGTCACATATTGATCAATTAGTTAAAAAACTATCTAGTTCCTTATTCATTTTACGACAATTGAAAACAATAACTAATTTTACAACTCTCAAAACCACATATTTTTCACTGTTTCACTAGCTATGGCATTACTCTCTGGGGTAATTCCATTCATCTGATAATAATTTTTAAAATGCAGATGAAGGCAATAAGGGTACTTGCCGGAATTGGTTTTAGATATCACTCTCAAGAGTTTTTTAAAAAATTGAAAATTTTGAACTATGAGCTTTTTAACACATTACCATCAAATGTAAAAAAATTGAGTATTAATGCCTTTAAAAANTTTGCCACAGTTTAACCGACACTCTAACTCTTATCGTTTACATGTACAGAAACGAATTTGAATAACCCTGTATATACATATCTTTTATATCCTCCATTTCAACATAGTTTGTACCCATGCACCATTTTTATTATAATTTCATTTCGTATGGCATATTTTTCAAGTATTTACTACCCAAGCTTTGTCTACAAGATTATGTCTTATGATAATAAAGCATATTATTACTATTATTATTACTGGAGTTTTTTCCCAACACCAAACCGTTATTTCAACACACGTGTTTCGATCACCAAGTGATCATCTTCAAGAGGAATATTAAACACCACAGTTTAATCTCTAAATACTTGAAATTTTTTCAATGTCTTTGAATTGACATCTGACAAAAATATCGAATTCCAAGAAATAACCCTTGCTGGTTCTATGATAATGTATTCAAAGATTGAATGAGCCGTTTTGTAAATCCTCTGCACATTTTTTCACGTCTATTTGTCTTGTGAAAATAAAAATAATCCTGACAGAACATCCTTTCAAAGCCACTCTTTCTGAATGGTCGACCATCTGACAAAAATTTGGGATTTAAAGAAAAAACCCATTAGGGTAAAATGACAGAAAACTGACAAATAACAATAGTTCAGGTACAGCTTAGACCTTTTATTTAAAACCCCCTGACAACTAGTAATAAATCAAAAGAAAGAGCATTCCAATATTCAAATAGTTGCAAATTTTTGCAACCATCTCCTAATCTGTTAATCTTTTCCAAGAATATGACGAGTCTATCATCACCAAAGACAAGTAAATATTGGTAATTGGCGAGAGTATTCAAAAAAAATTGTTGACTGACTAATAAATGAAATTCGAAAAGAAATGAATTGACACCAGAAAAAATCCACGTCAGTCTGAATGCCAAGATACATCAATCAGCTTATCACCCTACAGAACGTGAATTTTCCTTTTCTTGGATATTAATGCATTGGGATTTTTTTCGCCAATATACAGAACACTCAGTAGGAGTGTGGCGTATCAAAATTCGGTTTAATAAGCCTTATACTGCTATCCGTATTATTGCTATCAAAAAATTACCTTCGAAAAATAAAGAATTATATGGGAATAAACCTAACGTTTCAAAGGCTACTCCAAAAATTATGCCAATAAACTGATCTAGTCAACATTCTCCATATTCAATGTAAACTACAAAAAAGTATACAAAAAAGTATATATNCTTTTTAAACTATATTTATTTAATCTAAACTTTGGGATCAATCAGCCGTATATTATATATGATGGAATCTGCCGATACTTGATGAAAATCCATAACTAACGTATTCTAAAAACACTTTATTGTGTGAATGAATACGATGTGTTATATTTAGAAGAGAAGAGTTTGAAACTCAATCTTCTTGAATGTTTAGAAATCAATAGTTTCAGGAATTCGGGTAATTTACTGAATGATCAATTAGAATTAAATAACTCACCCCTACTGAATATTTTTTCATATGTGGAAAATGGAACATAAACTCAGGTTATTAAATTCATTACAAACTTAGGTAAAAAATCAGGTACTTGAAATTCAGGTACCTCAAAGTGGTTTTAGAATACATCAGCCGTATATTGTTGAGAAAAATGACCATTGATATTTTCCGATTCCGGATAGGGAGCCTGAAAATCAGCAGGCGTGCAAATGAGGGTAACAAATGAGGCAGCAGCGCGTTAATAAAAAAAAATACTTTTTTCAATTGAAGAAATACACGTAAAGTGAGTTCGAATTATATCAAGGAGATTATGTACAGCGCCATCTGCCCGCGAATAGATCAAGCAATAATGTCGATAATTCTGTCAAATACAGATCCTGATATGAAATGAAAAGGATAGTTACAAAACAAACATACATAGAGGTGAAGCGTGTAAAAAACGAAATTCGATAATTCCAAAATATCCCTAAATAGGAAACTTTTGACCAATTCAAAGGACCTTGTAGGTCTTACGGTTTATAAGATAGCAATCTTGACTGTAGGTAACGGGACTGTAACTCAAACTATCTTTTTCTACCCTCTGTCAGAAATAAATATCGAGCCCATCACAAAGAACTACCTGCTAAGAATGCGTTTACCATTTTACTAACAGTGCCGGAAAATAACAAAGGAGAAACTGTTTTTAGGGACGGGAGTGTAAATTGCAATTTGGCCATTTTTATGGTTCCATTACTTTGTGCTGCTTGTGGATAGAGGCTTTAAAATGTTCAAATCATCTTCTTACTTGACCTTCAATGCAATCTTGAAAGAAATGTACACCGAAAAGGACAAATCTAAAAAAGAAAGTTGGTGATATGTTTGTACCTCCAAAGAAGTTTTGTTTAAATGAGAGGACAATGTTTATTGAAGATTCAGACTTTTTTTAATATATTAACTGAAATGTAGACAAATACTAGCACATAATATCAGTACGCAAAACGATCAGAAGTGAATTAATATAGTTGAAATAAAATCAAGTTGAATATACCTATGAATAGAAATAATTCAAAAAAAATTGTCTATGGTTGTACAAAGAAACTGAAATGAAGCAAAATACAANGATCCCACCATGCTGGCTAGAAATCATTAGCGTTATGTACGAAACTTGTTTGTTAGTCATTATTTATCAGTGTTCCGGCAACTAGATAACAAAAATATATTGGATTCAAATTGACATGTACATTAAGGAGCCCCAACAATTTTAGAATTCGTCAACATACGACTAATTTGTGTTGAATTACTTTACTTCAACTGATGGAAGAGTGCCTTAATTTCTCAAAAATATTTCAATGCTAGGATTTATACAAAAAGTGGACGAACGAAAACTACACATAGTTTTTTTCATCGATTTTTGTAGCCACTGTGTACCTGTATACAGGTCCTTATTGAAAAAATAAAGCTGATGATGAAATCCAATGAACAAAACGCCACATTGCAAATTGGTTTATATCAGATTACAACAAGTATGATACAGTACTGAAAGTTCCTCTGCATTTTCATATCAATGGAAATGGAGGCGGTAGAGCCAAAAAAACGGACAATTCTAGTCTTTGGCGAATATTACAAAAACCACCACTGATATTCTGGATCTGAAAAAAGATCATTGTAGTTCCCGAAAATAGGAAACTTTTGTCCAATTCAAACGACCTTGCAGGTCTTACAATTTCCGAGATAGCAACCTTGACAGTAACGGGACTGTAATAACTCAACCATAATTATCTTTTCCTACCCTCTCTCAGAAATGAATGATCACAAAGAACTACCTGCTAAGAATGCTTTTACTATTTCACTAACAGTGCCAAACGACAAACTGTATATCTTGGAAAGGGAGTCTTACTTGCAATTTAACCATTCCTATGGTTTTAACGTTCGATAATTTTTCAATACAGGATTTATACAAAAATAGAAACTAGAATCTCTGGCATAGAAAAAATCCAACACAAGCACTTTTCCCCATCACCAAAACTGCAATACTTTTCTCGACGCGCGAAAACTGAAGTCGCCAACTTGGTTGACGCGTCGAGAAGAGTACTGCAGTTCTGGTGGTTAGGAAAAATGCTCGTTTTGGAAACGATGTATGGTAAAGGCTAGAACCTGGTTATTAAACCTTATCTCGCACAAGTCTCGATTTTCGAGGATTTTAAGGGTTGCCATTGGTGAGAGGAAAAGAGTTGATTATTGGCAAAGCCCATTTTAAACCCCACCCATATGGTTGTGATATGGGGTATTTTTAACTTTTTAGTCCGAAGTCCTTTAAAAGCGTGTTTTTTAAACTATATTTATTCATATACCATATTTATTCGTTATAGCACTCTAAAGCATGATCTGAGAGACTTTAAAGTAAGGGAAATTTCCTTTCGGTAACTCAAGTGCAATTCAGTTTATCTGCGTTGTTTTTCCTTTGGTGTGAACATTTTAAATTATAAATCCAAAACATCATTCAATGGATTGTTTATGTTTATGTCCTGTTCCTTGATTTTGATGTAAAGATTAATAAATACAGTCTTTATCATAATTATTTGCATAATTTATTGGGTGAATAAATAAAGGTATCCACTTGTGCTTTTGATTACTTTCAACAACTTTCTTTGTTCAATTACAATTTGTTTTTGTCGAGTCATGGAGAATACTGAACTTCCCAGAATGAATTCGTCATTTAATAAATACAAGTTAAGAACCAAATCATCGTTGTTCACGACGTCATTCAATGAGAAATTTTAAATTCGGAAGATATTTTATATCAGTATTCTTCCAAATTGTATCGTGTAGGATTCCTAATATTTGTTTCAATTCTATATCGAAAGTTTGGAGTACAAACTGAATAGAAAAACGCGATTTTCATGTGATTCGATATTCTTGTGAAAGTAGTTGTTTCAAATGGGTTTTTTCTTTCGATTTGAGTCTGTAAAAAGTCATCAACACAGTTTCGTCACAACTGTATAAGAATGTTAATTTTCGAAAGTTATTTATATTCATGTTTTCATACCCTGTATTGTCTGATAATTAATGTTCACTAAAAGTTTTGAGCAATTGATTTATTTGAAATTCTCACGTTTGTTTGAAGGTAGTCGACAATATTTCTTGATGCATTCCATTAGTTCGGACTTCCATTGTCTAATATGATATAAATTGGTTTGAAATACCTGAAAGAATCTGTGAGGACAGANTTGTATTTTATTTCATTTTAATTTCAGTTTTTTTTTTTGCTCAATATATTTGTTATTTTTCAGCTAATTTCTTTTTTAATTTTTTATAGATTCTTTCAGGTATTTCAAATCAATTTATCATATCATATTAGACAATGGAAGTCCGAAGTAATTTTCAACAAGCAATTTGATGTGTGTTTTTTTTACTGATCCATGATTGATTGCTTATATACGATAATGTTTCATAAATATCGACAGGCAATGAAATCCGGCATATATGTTCGTCGTTTCAATCAACTTGAATAATTTTCCTGCAAAACAATAGAAGTAGGTAAATTTATATCTGGAACTGAGAACTATCACTAGTTCAAGTAAATAAAGCTGACATCACCTTGAGTAGGCGATTATAACCACTCAAAACTAGTTTAACATTCAACTGCGAGAAATCAGGCAACCAAATCGTATACACGATTCAAAACTGTTCATAAAAAATTCATCATTAATTTCAATGAGACATCTAATCACTAGTTGATATTTATAAAATGCGCGATTGATAAATCCAAACATTTGGACAGAAATTAACCTTGAAGAAGGTCTATGCAATATAAACGTTATGGTCTTTTGTGATTGTGACACCCTTATCGCAGTATACAGGGCGGTACAACCAAAAGGTACAAGCAGATAATTATTTCTAGAAAAATGGAGAAAAATATCGAATAACCTGACCTGTTGATGGTATATAAGAATGATAATACCTTGGGTAAATGGAAAAATAATGGAGAAGTTCTTGAATATATGGGCTAAAATTTATGGCGACCAGGAAATCTTTAAGGTGCATCCACATTATGCCGCGATTTTCCGCTGCCAATGCGAATTGGCAAAGCCAAAGTGGCAGAGACAGCGACTGTACGAAACGCTTTTAGAGGAAAAATGTACTTGTCATTTTCACAAGACACTCTCGATGCCGCATTAAAAGACATTCTTGAATATAACGACCGCTACCATGAAAATGAGCCGATGTTTCAACAAGATAAGGCACCTCCTCACTATACATTTGCAGTTCATTAGTTTTTTACTGAATTTTTTCTGGGAGGTGTATCGGCCCAGTGGAGTGACCCTCGAAGTCACCAGACTGGAATCCGTTAGACTTTTGTTGGGTCACTTGAAGACGACAATGTATGAAACTCGTCCAGCATCTCTAGATGATTTACGTTGAATAATTATTGACAAGTGCCGAAACATTACACCTGAAATGCTTTATAACATCCGAGAGCTGTTTGAACAAAAGCTATATCGGTATATCTTGAACACATATTAAGTAAAGTTAAAGTTTAGTACTCAAGAAAGGTGGCTAATTTTGACTTTTATTATCCCTCCTTTGTAAAGTTAAAAGCTAACTTTCTTCATGTCAGTTACTAATTTCAAATTGTTTCTAATTCACATTTTGGCAACAGCGCCTATATCAAGTTGAAATAATTTATACATACCTAGATATTCTACTTTAAAAAAGGAAAATTATCTTTATAAATCAACAATTAAGGCAAAATATAAATTATAGTTCAATACCACCTCCACAAGCCACATAAACAACAGTTGTTTTGTTATTTATTTATATAGAGGAAGATAGATATTGATAGCCTTTGAGTTTAGGAGCATCATGAATTAGTATTTTTGTAATACCCCAAAACGGCGATATAATATTCGTCTTTACGTCTTTCTACTTCTTCAGCAATATTATGATATCAATTTGAAAGTAAATGGAATTGGTTTGTGGTTGAAAGTACCTAAAATCTGTGAATATTAAATAAATCTGTGATAGTTGAATTTCCTTTTCAAAAAATTACTTTTCATAAGTTTACTGTCATGAAATGTGGAGGAATGTTTTCATTATGTCAGTGTGACAGAGCTGATATGTATCTGACAGAATTAGAAAAAAAATGATGAATGATGAAAATCTATGGACTGAACTGAGTAGTTTATTTGGAATTTCATCTATCTTGACAGCTTTGATCGAATAGAAAAGTGGATTTAAAATATATCAGCCTATACTGGTTTAAGTTTGACGATAGTCGTGTCACGAAGTGTTCTGGCGATGTATTGAATTTATTGGAGCCTCTAAAGACACCCTACATTTTGTTTTATGAGAGAGAGGACATTGGCAGATCAAGATCTTCAGATGATGTGGTGCTGCAGGTTTTTTCTGGATTTCCTGCAGCTGAAAAAGCAAATGCGCCACTAGAATCAATGAAGTCGCCCCGGAACGACAATTAATTTGTATTGTTGTTTTATAATTTCACATATAAAAGTTAGGTACTTGTGGCAGGTCCATGAATAAAAAGTGAAATAACATAAGTAATAAAATAGTGTAAAATAACAATGAACCCGTTTAGGAAAAAAAGCAAGATGGAAAATAAGAATAACCCAACTATTGACCGAATATGTGGTATCAGCTGATGGCTGAAAAATAAGTATGTTTCACGAATTACAAGTCAAGATTGATGATGTTTTTGTAAATGGAGATATGGGTATCCAGAGTTGTATAATAATATTTTATCGAAATTATCAAATCTCAAAATTATGATAATGTATCGACACATGGCCAGAGAAATTCACAGAATAAGAGTTTAAAAATTCACCTAGCTCAGTGCTTATTTCGACTTATTCATTCTATAAATGCTCTGCCTCGAAAGTACATATTCTGTTTTCTTATTTCAGTTTAATTCAATTCTTATTTTATCATACTTTTTTTATAAACCTGCCTTTCGTTTTTCCAAAAATATGGTTCATGCTTCACGAGAAATATAATTATAAATGAATCTGTAATGTTTCACTTGATACCAAACACCTTTAAATTATCCAGCAAGTCTTTCTTATGTCAATGTTCAATAAAATGTAGTGAAGACATAATAAAAATGTATTGAAAAATTGACTCTTTGAAAAACAATCTTCAATACTGAATTGAAAAAAGGATCACAATTCATATTTTTCTCCTCACTTCACCAAAATTTTCTATGCATTTCATACATACAGTACCAAGTACAATAAACCCTTGGTCCAACAAATTAGTAAAAATAAACATCAGATGCCTATTCTGTAACAAAATTTGGCACGTGTGAGGTCTACCAACCTTGACTACAACCTTGAGAATTTCCAAAGCACACACGGAAGTAAATACCAAACAAAAACAAATATCTTGAACTATTGACAGCTGGATACCCAAAACAGATAGTGGAAAATCAATAATGAAACTGTACTAACCTGGTCATAGCCAAACTCATGTCGAGTTTCATCATTCTCCCATAATCCACTTGGAAAACGTGCAACATTTTTGCTGTTCAATTTGGGACTCCTGGATAAACTACCTTTCTAGACACCCCTGGAAAAATTTTGTTCATTCACGCTGCTGTACTGATAACAATCTTCAATAACTTGTATAGTAGATTTAGGGAAAGTTTAGCATAATGAATGACTCAGTAAAATGGCGAAAATGTTTTTGTGCTAAAAATATATAAAACATTTCACAATAAAAATGGTTTTACACCCGACCATGTTTACACCATAATCACGGTAAACAAAGAAAATACTTGAAGTAAAACGGTAAAGTTGCCATAGACTTTCACAGTTGTGTTTACTAAACAGAAAAATGACATAGGAAAAAATAGAACCTAAATCATGGTGGAACCACCGCTTAGAGCGAATTTTCAGTTTCTATCAACCATTGTTATGACACTTCACTGGCGTTTTCACAGCTGATATTGACAAACACAGTATTTTTCACCTTCATTATGATCACTCAATTTGACTCGTATACCAAATTATTAACCGAATGTTCTAAATTTAGACATTGTGCTCTAGTTCTAAAGCAATTGATCATCTGACTAGAAAGTGTTATTTTGCAAACTTTAAAACTGCGTGCAGCATTCAGTTAATCACAAATCAAGGACTCCAGTTGATGTTTTAGTTATTTTTGATTTTACACTAGTTTTGCATTGGTATGACAAATTGTGCGTTTGAATGAGTTCTTAAATTGAACGGAAAAATTCTGACACATTGTTTCAACCAATATAAACTCGCTAACTAAAAAATTGACTTGTTTTTTGTATAAAGGAGTATTTTGACGCATGCCAATCATTTTAAGACTTATTGAACTTAACCTACAAACAATGACGTCAAGTCATAGAAACTCAATGATTATACACGTCAAAAGGATGCAATATTATTTCTGTATTCATACTTTTGGTCACAATGAACTCCAAAAAAATCAGAGTCAATGACAATATGCAATAAAAATTCTAAAATTCATTGAGTTTAATGATGAAGAGAAATCACCGCAGATGACGTCACATATATTCGTAGTTGAAGGGAATTACATTTATTCTATTTACATTTTCACTATTATTCCGATGAGTATAGTGAGTTAACTATCAGGAGATAAACTCTTGCCAAAAAAATATGCTATAGGTCAACTTGATATAAATGAAAATGAAGTATACATATTGCAAAGTCCTTACAACGACTATTTAGCGGCCATATTGCAATCTCTGTCCATTAAAAGTATAATATGTACTCAAAATTTCTGGAGGAAGTGTATTCCACATCTTAAAACTACGTAAATCATCTTCAGACACGTAAAGCTCAAATTTTGACAGATCAGAACGTTCAGGTTTGTGTACAAGGTAATACTCCTGAGTACTGGATATCTAACTCAAGGTCATAGTTGAGTTAGGTCAGTATTTAAAATTGAATGTAACTGAAATTTTGGAAATGCGAATTTTAAAACTCTTAAAATGAATATAATCTTTTTAAATGAACATGAAACAATATTCTTAATCAAATTGCAAGCAAATGAGTTATGTCCAAGATTTTTTAATATTTATTCAGAATAAATTACTCAGAAATTCAAAATAACAATATAATTTTGAACATAACCAGGGGTATTTTAAAATTTATCAACTAGTCTCCAGTTTATAGAACTAAAAGTATATATTTCAATAATTAATAGATATTCTTACGTCTGATACAGCGATTGATTTTTATTCTTCCTTCACCGGAAAAGAGACACTGGAACTCCGTCAAACAACTCAGAACACATCAATAATCTGCGATATTCAGTTAAAATTTCAAAGTGAGACTAGCAGCTCACTTGACTAACTAAAATACATGACAACCAAAGTTTTACCTGCTATATATATTTTCCGTTCGTCCTTTGTTAGGGTAGGACAGATATTTTATTTAGGCAAACTTCGTGTACCAAAAAGAGATAAGAGATTTGTTTCAATATGGTAGCCTTGGAGGGGGTGGTTTGGCCTCTAGAACCTTTGTTTGGCACATCTGTTATTTGTTATTGTTTGTAGAGTTACCTTAATCTCTGTGTATTAAAAAAAACTTACTTTCTTCTGCAATAATAAACTATTTGATGATTCTATTTCAATAATTATATCATGAAAATGTTTCATGAAGTTCCTCATAAGCGATTCTTCAAAGATAACTTTTAATAATGAGTAGGACAGAAATATATATTGTGAGACGGGGGTGTTTCAAATTAGTAGCCATAGGCGTCCTTTCACGAAAGGGAAAAACTTAAAATATCCCAATACGGTTGAATAAATATAGTAGAAATGAAAACAAACTGAAAATTGGATATTTGTTTCGACTTCTGGAACTAATAGATATTGTAAATTGTAGTTTCAAAAATTTTAATCGAATATATAAATGTTTTTCAATATTCCCCTCCTCGGCTATGATCATATGGCATATTCATCTCACGTGAAGGTGATGTGAACTGGCCACTAAGATGGTGCGATTTGTGGGGTTTTCTTAAATCACAGGTGTATGCGAATAAGCTACAAACCCAGCGGTCCTTAAATACAACATAACCCATGCCATCGGTTGGACATACATGACGATGTATAAAAACAACGAGGCAGGTGAAGACCAGGCACGGATTATAGAATTGTACAACAATTGAATGCACAGAATCTGTACCAACGATTAAAATCAACATAAATCGGTACTCCTTAATTTACGTGAATTCTTAAATTTGGATTCTCAAACTGTTTATTTTAACTGTATATTATTGTTATCTTTTCCGGAAAAAAATGGTCTTGACATATATATCTCGAATAACAACCTCAATGGATTGAAATGAATGCAATCCCATCATTTTAATAATTTAGCTCTGAAGATAGATGTTTACTTTTCTGTATAATAATTTAGGATAAAATCCTTGACCCACGATATTGGCAAAATTTCGATATTTATGAATTAAAAGACGGGATATTACTCCAAATGAAAATATACATGATAGGAAAACTTGCTTTCAACGGGAAAACTTCAGCCTTTTGTGGAAAATACGAAATTGTTTTAGAAATTGCCGATACTGGATAGTTTAGTATCTTGCTACTAAAATCGCAGTTTACCGATTAATTTTGTTAATTATTATAGCCTGGAGGCGAGTTATAAAGATAAAAGTGGAAGTAAGTAATAATATCGGTATCCTCAAGATAAAATGTCATTTCTGATACTATGAATACAAATGAACAACTTGCATTTTTGAAAAATTTCAGAAGTGTCTGTAGGAATCAATATTCTTGCAATATTCTTCAAAATATGAACGCCATGTGGATGCATTGAGCCACCATTTCTTCAAATACTTCTTCTTCTTCAAGCTTGTTCCAATCTTTCCTTCATTTATGATTGATTCAATAACAATATATATCAAGGTGCATTTCTTTCTTCATGAACAGCAAAAATTCTACTGCACTTGTAGCAAAACCGGTAAAAGTTTGTGAATATTTGGGTTTTATTGCGGAAGCAGCTACACTTTCCCTGGTCTCCACAAGATCTCTTACATAGAGGCACATATAGTACGCTACTATTGATTGACACTGACAGAACATCTGTAATAACTAATAATTTATTAAGAATTTTCTCTCGTTAGAAAAACCATCTCATAAAAGAAATATTCCTTTCTTGATGTTTTTAAATTTTCCTTCTTGAGTCTAAATAAATGTATCACGAATCAGCTCGAGTGTAATGAAAAAATTACTGATAAAATCCTCTTGAGAACAGTAACTGCGAAATATACACCTCTAAAGATTCCAATTATCTAGAAAAAATTATTTATATACCCAATATTTTTTTACATATGATTGAATGAAAGCAGTTTTTTCTCATTCTCAAAACCTGAAATTCCTCGAGAAACACTTCGATTGAAAATCTGTGGCTTTTTGTTTCACGGAAAGTATGTACTAGCTAGAGAAACGCTTTGTCAAAATGTGCTGATGTGAGCAGGTATTCAAGCGATATGGTTGCTGCCTCTAGACGGTAGGTGAAATGTTCAGTTATTTTGGCGCCATTTGGAAATTTTCAAATTTTATGGTAGGCCAGTTGGCTCATGTCAGCAATAAAGTGTCCAAACAAAATTTTAGGAAGTTTTTCCATAAAAATCAATATAATCCTGTAAAATGAACAGATTAATGGTGAGTTCCGTTTCTAGGTAAATCATTGAATGCTTATCATCTAGTTTAAACTTATTTATGATCTGAATAGGCAACAAAAAAGTCTACACCAAAAGCTAGCCCCATCGTTGTTCAATCAGGTGACAAACGACCCAGAAGAGAGAAAAATGTAAATCCTCCTGTTACAAAAAAGTACAAATCGTCCAGAAGCAACACTTCGAAAGTGAAAAAAGTGGCCAAAAACGCCAAGCTTATGAACGAATGGGCTGAAAATGAATCCAGTAAAGCTGAAATCTGTGAAAGGCCCAGACAAACAAGAAATGTAAAGAAAACTGTGTCAACTGAATCTGTGATATATGTTGGTAGCTACAAAACATGTGATTCCCAAAGAAGCCCTGTTCCTGTGATAGACTTGACTGAAAGCGCAGATCATATAACCATGAATAAGGAGAATTTTTCTTCAAAAAAGCTAAAAACCCTTTACTTCCCTGAAAGAAATTTTGTACGAGTTTCTAGACTTAATAAACGTTCAATGACAACTTCCCTCATCACAATCCCAGTAACTAAAAAAACTGAAATACCTGCGAAGCACCCTAGTACAACCGAGCTAACAAATAAAATAAAACTGGCTGTTCTGGATATTCCGGCTCAAAATCTGGAACATTCCGACATAAATCTCTGTAGGAAGGGTCGTGCTGCCTTAGAAAAGGCAAATCTAACAGAAAGTGATTATGAAATGATAGACTGGATCATTGAAAATGATCAGAATATATTGAACCGAGATGTTGACATGGGGTACCCTCTGTCACCATCAACTTCCCCGTATGATTCTTCTGTAAATACAGGAATGTCTCTTGATGAATTTGTAAAAATGTATGATACTACTTCTGACAGTGAAAATTAGTTCCTTCATTTCTATTGCTATACTTAGTTGAAATTTTAGTTGTACCATAGTCCTTTGTTATATTAACATCGTTTTTGTACTTATATTGATGAGACCAGAAGAATTGGTCGTTTTCTTATGCCGTCTCATTAAATTTTAGTGAAACAATGATAATCCTTGTAGTTTTTGACAATTTTGGGCAAAAATTCACTTTGTCATACTATAAATGCATATCAATTAGAATAATCCTCATACACACCCTATAACTACAGCAGTAATATCACTATCGATACGTTTTTTTATGATCAGAAGCTACATGGAAATGATTTTTTATAAGTTTCATTTGCTAGAGAGTCAAGAAAGTTTTGAACAATTTCACAGATTCTGAACTAGAAATTCAAAACTCTATTGTTGTTGTATTCAATGAAAAAAAATCTAAAGAAACGAACTTTACACATTCAAGCCAGTCTCAAATATACCTAAACAGTAGGTTGAATGGACTGACGCATATCAGAAAACAACTACTCCCCTGACTAAGACCACGAAGGGCGTTGGATTATATCCGACAGAGGCAGTGCAGGAATCTTCACAGAAAGTTTCCTGCATATGCAATTGGCAATACAATTGAAAGAATCGACCTTCAATTTTGGAACGGGCACGCTTGCAGACCGGTTTCGGGCTCATTACCCACTCGTCAGTGCAAGATAGTGACCATCATCGACCTAAAGACAATGATATTCCATAATTGAAAATCGGAATTCTTTCACAGTATTTCATTACTCTTCCTAAGTTGGAGCGAAACAACAAAATGTCACTCCATCTAGTGTTCGAGGTACTAACCAACTACATGTCCGTAATTTGCCCGATTCCTCTGAATAAGGAAGAAAAACTTTGTTATTAGTTAGTGGGCTTTGCTTGAAGACTGGCACTAAACAAATCTAAAGAAGTGAACTTTAAACGTTCAAGCCAGTCTCAATTATGGATCCCATTGACTTTAGGTCGATGATGGCCACTATCTTGCACTGATGAGTGGCTAATGAGCCCGAAACCGGCCTGCAAGTGTGCCCGATCCAAAATTGAAGGTCGACTCTTTCAGTTGTATTGCCAATTGCATATGCAGGAAATTTTCTGTGGAGATTCCTGCACTGACGCCTGTCGGATATAATCCAACGCCCTTCGTGGTATTAGCCAGGGAAGTAGTTGTTTTCTGATAGGCGTCAGTCCATTCAACCTACTGTGTAGGTATATTCGAGACTGGCTTGAACATTGAAAGTTCATTTCTTAAGATTTGTTTAGTGCCAGTCTTCAAGCATAGCCCATTGACTAATAAAAAAATATTCAACGAAAACCAAAATATAAGACTACTACCTCAGATAACACACCAACGCATTTCCAAAATATTTCTTATAAACATCGGTAGCTCACCTACCTGGATGGTCATAAGATATATATTATTTGGATACCTTATGGGTGTTAAACGGATATCCACTGAAGGGTATCCATTCCAAGTCTGTTAGATATCCATTTCATGTCCAATATTTGAAATGGTCATGAATTGGATATCCATGTGATACCCGGTTTTGTTCAAATACTGCCTCTCATGCAATGTCGTATGGAATTTTCACGATTTGCTTCGAAATACGCTGGCACTGTAATTTTTTTTTCGTCCACTTCAAATGTGAAACAACATTATATCGTTTGAGAGCACGGTCGACATTTTTTTGACACACTACATATGCTTCAAGATAATATAAGAATTTATTGGTCTTCACAATATACGTCAAACAAAAAATGTACAACACACTATTAAACCATATTTAGAATATAAGAGAAAATTAGCTACAGAGGTGCCATTTCATTGAATTGTTAAATTTTCCAAACTGCTCCAAAGACAACATTTATTTTGTAAAATGCTTGGCTTGGCTTCACCTCAAATTCAAGTTTTTCAATTGGAAAGTTTTCCCACTCTTGCGGAAGAGTACTATATATTTTTCCGTAAAATGCTTTGAATTGATTTTCAGTATTCACCAAATTCATTTTAGCCGTTCTAATGATATTGCTTCTTATTAATTGATTAATTTTATTAATTAACTAACACGCTTTTATTAGCTTCACCTGTACGTATGTTTATAACTCTTAAGCTCAAGAAGAATTATCGATATTATTGCTTGATCTATCCGCGGGTAGATGGCGTTGTACGTAATCGCTCTAAAATATCGACATTATTACTTGATCTATTCGCTGGCAGATGGCGCTGTACGTAATCTCCTTGATATAATTCGAACTCTCCTTAAATGTATTTCTTAATGTGAAAAAATTTTTTTTCCACTAACACACGCGCCTGCTGCCTCATTTGTAACCTTACATTGCGCGCCTGTTGCCTTGGTAGCTGATTTTCAGGCTCCCTCTCCTGAATCGGAAAATATTAATGGTCATTTTTCTAAACAATATACCGCTGATTGATCCCAGAGTTTAGATAAAACAAATATAGTTTAAAAAGCCTAAAAAAACACACTTTCATAGCAAACGAAACTAAAAAATGAAAAATAACCTAAGTAGGTGCACACTATTGTCATTTTCATTTTGTTAAAATCAATTTTTTTTTGTTTTATCTTCGTTCAAACTCAATACATTCGAATTGAAATATTCTTCACATTTTTCTTGTGTTTCTCTCGTTATTTCTTCTAATATACTGGGAGTTCTTGATGTAACTATAAATGAGGAATCATCTGCATAAAGAAACGTGTCCGCAATGTCGACATGTAATGGCAAATCATACAAAATAAACAGAAGAGGACCTAACACGGATCCTTGGGGAACTCCACGATGAACGTTTTGAATGTTGGAGTTATGTTGTTATGAATAATATATAGTCATCCCCCGGTTAGGAAAGACTGCAACAGTTTTAACGCTAAGAGTATACAGGGGGTCTCATTGAAAAAAATAAATTTTTTGAAATACTCTTATCTTCAATAATGAAGAAATTAGTTATAGCGCCGACTTAAGTATGAACACACTGTATAACTCTTTTCCTAACAAAATGAAACAAAACTTTTTCAATAATTGTTATATTTCAATTCAACTATGCTTACTCCCAGACAACCTCAAATAAAATCGTGGCTGAAGAACTTTGCTGGGAAATACACTTCGCTTAGAAAGACATTACTTTTGATGAGTCCTTCAATTCCGGCTTTGCGCTTTTTTTCTATAAGCACTTTCAGCTCCCTGACTATTTCTGGATTCTCGGCCATGTAGGGAGTCTTCAGTAGATCCTCAGCGAGTTTTACTTCTCTTTCGCTCAAAGGTTGAATGTTGTTACTGAAATTCCGCAATTCAGAGGGAAACACTCCCAGCCATTTTGCTTTCGGCACCGCCAAATGATGAGAGACATGGGCATTCTTCTTCAAAAAAAAAAACGTAAATGTTATTCAGAAGAATTTACTCTGGTAGGAAAAGTTTTTTGAGTAAAAGAAGTAGAGAAGGGTGGCAGAAGTTCTTGTCATTAATTTATGATACGGTGCATTTCTTCAATGCCCCCCTCTTTTAATTTTTGAACGGGTCAACGACTGGGGGCCATCTGGGAAAAAATTAAATGGAAAGGGGGGGTCTTGTGATATATCTTTTTCAAGCTCCTGACGAATACTTTACAACCCTAGAATATGAAGTCAATATCTTCACTTACTACAAAATGGCGGGGCATTTAATAATTTCCTGAAAACAAACACATTAACAGTGATATATCTAGAAATAATTTTTTTTATCTGCCATATGGTAATTCCAACAACCTGATAAGGTTTGTTAAGTTATTATTTGTTTATCAAAACGACAAAAAATGTCAGTAGGGCAATGAACAGCATTGTTCAGTTAGAATATTCTCATTTAGTTTTCGGTTTTACTAGTAGGAAGGTATAGTCTATCCATTCCCAATTGGAACGGCAATAAAAATAAGAGTACAGTCATAAACATTTCTTGCCTGTGGCCCTTAGTCGCCCAAATAGTTAGTAAACGTGCTGTCAAATGTAGCTGGACTGGCTGAATACTATTTTTTTGTCCGTTTCACAATATTTCTTTATCAGTGCCGTGTGTTCGTGAAGTTAGGTGAGGTAGTGAGTGGGTTTGCAAACCGATATTTGAATACTTTTTTGAGATCAATTACCCTAACACCAAACTGATATTTGTTTTGTTGAGAGTGGTTTCGTACCTAACGATTTGCTTCTGTCGGACAAAAATGTAAAAGATTCGTTTGCTGATTACCATAAAGATATGACTGCGGCTTTATTCAAAACCTGGTTCGGTGACCAAATATTCCTCCAAACTCGTTTATTGTTATGGATAACGCTTCGTATCATTCTCGGTTATTGACTACAATACCAAACAATAACACAAAAAAGCAGATATTGTTGATTTCATGCAAAATCATAACATGGAATCATAACATATTCTCTTACGTTTGCCTCCATACTATTGTGTGTGACCAGTCGCCATCTTGAAAGTTTCATCTGTCAATTTCACTTCAAAATGAAGTATTCATGCCTCCATTTCATTATCCCAAACTTCAATTTTTTGAATTGACCCATTCAAAAAATGAAGGGGGGGGCCGTAAAAGAAAAGCACTGTGTATGTTTCTTGTTGCTGAACAAATAGTCCAAGGGTTGAAGATAAATTGTTTTTTCAGCCTCAACGATTCTCATCTAGTCTTGATATGAGAACACAAACTGTAAGAATTTTCTCAGATCGCAGTAAAGTATTCGATCTTGTTGATAATGAAACCCTTTTAGCCGTGTAAACCAAGGTCAAAAACCCCGAAAAATAGCTTTCACACTAAATTACCCATGATTTGAAGATTATCTTCATAGATACAGATTAGTATGAAACAGGAAGTTTGGACAACTCTATAAGAGTACCACAAGGCTCTATTCTTGGACCTTTGCTTTATATAATTCATGTCAACGATTTTTGTGATGTAGGTATGAGTTATGTATATTTTGTATATTTGTTAAATAGGTATGACTTGGAGAAAGACAATGGCTTGAAATTATCATGACACCAGATTTCTTGATGGTAGAAAATGTTTTAAATGTGCCCAATATGCATGTATCCATTTAGATTCTTGATTTCTTCTATATTTAATTGTCTCACATTTTAAATGTCCAAAAATCACAAAACTACTTACCACCGAACCAAACCTATAGTTCAGCATGATACTGATCCCATCAGGATCCGCATCAACTAGTATAAAAACAGGTATCGACATAGCAACCCACAGTCTTCTGAGGAACAACTGAGTATTCAGGTCTGGGAAACCTTTTCCCGTGATCATTATGAAGGGCCTGGTCAATTTGTTGGGCAAATTTTCTTCTATCAGCTTATGGAATATGGATTCTTTTTCAATCACGAGGATGAAGTAGGCTGACGAATGAAGCTCGATGATTTCATTAACGTCTTGAGGAATCAGAGTACCTGCAATCATTTTTATTCAATTAGCTATTCACTATTCAAATGTAGAGGCTAATCTAGCAACACTTATAGGGATAAATATCTATCCACGATAGTAGTATACTTCAAAGAATGTAAACTGACACGATAATACAATTTTCACAATATAAAATGTATTTAAGACGCGTTTCACTACAGCTTCATCAGTCTGACTGAATAATTTCCTTATAGAAATGAATGATACTGAGGTTTTTTTGGAAAATATGAAAGCAATTCGTCAAAAACTCAATTTTATTGAAATGTGGCGCAGTAGGTATGATATTACACAATTTTAAGCAGGACAATGAACGAGTAAGGCCTTCCCTGATTTCATGAAAAATCATCCACCTAAAACCTCCACGAATAATTTTCAACCACACTTTCTTTTTTAAAACATGCTCCAAACAGTCTATATCGCTAACACCTAAGCTGCCGCTGATTCTGGGGTATTGGAAGGCGAGTTTATCTTGATGCCACGTTCCCGTGGCGCCATCTATGGATAATTTGTGGAAACAAAAGGCAAATTTCATGTATTGAAGTCATATTAATATTTCCTAAACGATTCATTGTATTTCTAACTAGATGATCGGCTACAATCAAATACCTGGAACGTTGCAATTCAAAATTTCCCCGGAAGCCAAGAGTATTTTCAAATTTCCAAAGACGAGTCCTTTTTGAGCCACAATATTGAGGGCCCACATTCCAACATCTAAGAGACAACTTATGGCATTTATAGCTCTATCCGTTACTCTCTGATCTCCTATAAGCGATTTCAGTTGGTAATACAGCTCTCTGAAACATTTGAAAAGGGAATATTCATGTTGTTATATGTTTGAACTATAAATAAACATAATTATCATTTATGGTGATATTAAGTAATATCTTCCAAGTTGAATATTTGTTGCAGATCAATTCTCATTGGTCACTGAAACTTCCTGACTAAACGCCATCATAATGACTGCTATAAAGCACTCACCTCTTTGTTAACTTTGTATTCGTCTCTAAAAGGGTTTGAATTTTCTTGAGAATACACAAAATCAGTTTAAATTTGGCCCTACTTCGCTGTACATTGGATTTGATAACAGACATCGCTATTTCGTCATTTGGCTTGAACTGTAACCTGAAATCACACAAAGCGTGTCCACATTTTCAACTATTAGAATAGCACTGACTAGAATTGTCTTGTGGGTTTTATTTTGTTTTTTTCTGTCCCATTTCATAATCAACCCCTCACTATTCGTAAAGACAAAGATATTATTTTGTATCAACCAAAACTGTAGTAGATGAGTACCTAACCGACTACAGATTTCTAGAAAGAACCGTTACATTATATAATCTCGGCTTCCCGACCCAAGAGGGCAGTTCAGAAAGTTTTTCGAGCGGCTAAACAAGAAATTCAAACAGTGGAAATAAATTAAGCGTTAGTTGCTAAGTGTTGTAAATAAATTAGTTTGTGATTAGTGAAATATTGTTGCAAATAAATTCGTCTGAGACAGTTAATTATTTAATTTGTTACAAGTGGTGTCAGAAGTGGGATTTGTAAAATAAATCTGTAAGCGCCTGGTGTATAATCTTTCTATTGCGGGGAAATTGACTATAAGACTTATTTGTTCGCGCAGAGAGACTGGTGATGTCATGTGTTTGTGTCATGATCCACTATAGGTCTCATCAGTGGTGCTAGGATGAACCACCCTTACAGAACCATCCTCAAAGAACAAACCTGAATATGCAAATGTCGAAGATAGAAGAACTTCTTCTTGGTGTCTGTAACAAAGCTATAAACAAAGCATCATTATCAAGGGGGGACATCAAAGCCTTCACTCAAGCTTGTGGTTTAAGGACAGTCGGGTTGGGCAATGCATTCACAGTTCAGCCTAGCATCACTGAAGGAATCTATGGCAGTTTGACATACCGAGGTCTGGCATTGATTCACAAAGGCTTTGTTTCTGGGATATGATTTCAACTGGTCAATGTTTCTATTATTTGGGATATTACCTTCCGTTTTTGAATACGCAATTGGTCAATGTCTGTCTTCTCAGTTCTAAAGACGCCTTCCCCCCGTTTGTCAAGTCCTCGAAAACATTCAGAAAGATACTCTGTATTTTCTTTTTTATCTCGTCTTTGTCGTACTCCTTGTGAAACATCTGGCTTTCCTCGCAGTACAAAGACTTATCTTTCAAAATCTCGTTCAACCCCTTCCTCAGTCTCTGTTGGGGAACGGCTAATTCTGTAGAACCTGTAGATAAAGTCTCGGATCGGGCATCGTCGGTGACATACGATGACGAAGTAGATACAGAACTCACACTTTTAGATCTCACAAACGGTTGCGAAGGTTCTACAAAATCTTGAGTCATTTTCTTGAGGAGTTCTTTCAAATTCATGTTTTCATTTATAGTATTGGCTGGTTGCTGCACTTTCTTTAATTTCTTCAACCTAGCAAACAAACTAGTTATTTAATAATAATAATGATGATTTTATTGCAAAACGATCAACACAGGGCACAACAAATGTCAGGGTTGGGTTGAAAAACAAGTTGAAATGTGTTTTCGAAATCTATAAATTATGGGGGATGAACATATTAAAATATTGAGGTACAGTACACTCATGGTCTACACATGATCTACACATGGATGTGTAGATCATGCAAAGAAGTAACTTTCAGACTTTCTTTCAGTTTGTTTCGCCATACAATGGCTTCCTCGGGCGTGTCTTAATAACTAATTCTACACATTAAATGCTATATATACCTTATTCTACAATTTCAAGTACCCGGATTTTTTACCTAAGTTTGTAATAAATTAAATTACCTAAGCTGAGTTCCATTTTCCACATTCGAAAACATATTCAGTAATGGAGAGTTATTCAATTCCAATTGATCATCCTGTAAATTACCTGAATTCCTTAATCTATTGATTTCTAAACATTCTAGAAGATTGAGTTTCAAACTCTTCTCTTTTAAATGTAACACATTGTATTCAAGATTGAACTCATGTCCTTCTGCTAAAAAAGTGGTTTGCAAATGTGGAATTGGTCTTTCTATTTACAAAACTACTTCTATGCTCTTTAATTCTTTGGGAAAATGTTCTTCCAGTTTGGCCAATATAGAGTTTTGGACAAGAGCCACAAGTCAGCTTATATACTCCAGTAAAACTTTCTAGTGAAAATCACACAAAGTGTTTTTAGAATACTTTACAAAGACAAATATTTAAAATACAGCTGAATTTGAAAGTCTGAAGACTAACTCCAACATATAGAGTGCTTTTTTTAATGCCTCTCTTTATTTTTTGAATGGGCCAACTCAAAAAATTGAAATTTGGGATAATGAAATCAATGCATGAATACTTTATTTTGAAGTGAAATTGACGGATGAAACTTTCAAGATGGCGAACTTTTAATAATTGCCTGAATACATTGACATTTAACTACATAATATGAGGTAATAAGCTTGAGGTCAGTTCAGAAGATGGTACGAACGAACGTAGAGGAATCTTACTTGAGGAAAGGTTTAAACTTCGCCATTGCACCAATATCTGTGTCCATTTTGGAAATAATAACTGCAGTAGAATCCACCAGTTCCTCAATGGGTCAGATCGAGGCAGAAGAATTCAGATGGGAAATCAGAGAACAGCTAGATCGAGAACCAGTTCCAACTCCTAACGTCAGCAATGAAGAACGAAGAGCCCTGAACGGGCTACGTAGAGACAACACCATCAAGATCTTACCTGCAGATAAGGGAAACGCTACAGTTGTGATGGATACTGATCTCTACGAACAGAAGATTGAAGGGGTGCTTCAGAAAGGAAAATACACGAAGATCGTAAGAGACCCAACTGCATCAATTGAAAGGAAGTTGTACCAGACTTTGAGAAAACACCAAGTCTATTTTTCGGAAAAAGAGCGATCATTGCTAACACCGTACCACAGTGAGCCACCTCACTTGTATGGACTACCCAAAATCCACAAAAAGGATGTTCCGCTCAGACCGATCATTAGCTCCAGAGATTCAGCCATTCAGAACTTATCCAGGTTTTTACTACCAATAAATAAAACCATTGCAAGGTGAAACATCATCTTTTGTGGAAAATTCAAGACATTTCGTTGAACTACTAGGTGAAATCGAAGTCAAAGAGGAGGATCAACTGATCAGTTTCGACGTGGAAAGCCTCTACACCAACGTTCTTGTCGAAGAAGCACTTCAAATCATACAGAATAGTACATGAATTTATGAATATTAGGTAAATGTAAATATATAATGCTGCATAATGAACATTGATAGCCATTTCGTGTTGGTTTCAATAACTTGTTTACACAAAGCTATATGCCAATTACTCGATAGAGCCTTGGTAGAATTCGTCCACACTATAATAGGGCCTCCCAACAAGGAATTCTTTCACTTTCTTTCTGAATTTCTTTTCATTATATATTCGCCTTAAATTTGTGGGAAGGTGGTTAAATAACTTCTTGCTATTGAAAATAATAGAATTTTGTGTAAGGGCTAGAGAAGGGAAACGGAGTAAGACTGACGTGTACTATAAGTTGAGGTGTTACTAAATTGATTTTTATATTTTTTGTGGATAAGACACACTGTTTCCAAAATAAAAAAACATACTAAGGTCAGAATTTTTTGCTTCATAAATAATGGGCGGCTGAATCCCTGTAGCTAGCCTTGCATAAATATCTGATGGATCTTTTTTGTAGAGAGAATACCATATTGAAACGAAATTTTGCACCTCTATATAAATAAATAACAAAACAACTGGTGTTTATGTGACTTGTGGAGGTGGTATTGAACTATAATTTATATTTTGCCTTAATTATTGATTTATAAAGATAATTTTCCTTTTTTAAAGTAGAATATCTAGGTACGTATAAATTAGTTCAAATTGATATAGGCGATGTTGCCAATATGTGAATTAGAAACAAATCCCTTTAAAAATTGGAACCCAACATTTGAAACATCAATTTGAATACTTTTCAAAGTGAATTTGAAAAAGTCATGAATTAAACTCAACTTTATTTTGTTCAAACTTGCATTATGCAGATAAATTTTTCTCCTGGTTTTTCGGCAGTGGTCTGCAGTCCAAAATAACCCCAGCTAGGCTGGTCAAGGGAAAAGCTTCCCTTCCCTATGTTGAAAATATTACAGACAAAAAGATAGGGATAGTTTCAATAGAAACCAAGAGGCAATGAACATCAATAAAGTCTGGCTACCTGCCTTTAGAGGTACACAAACAAGATCAGGTAATCCAATTAAGAGAAACCAAGCCTTGCCTACTAATAATAATAATATAAGACCATAGTTGAACACCAACATCGTAGTAAATGTGTTTGGAACAACGATAGGACCAACTCGAGCACTGCAACAATTACGAAATAACTTTTGATGTCTACCGCAGTAGTAGACGAAAAGTTAGGCATAAAACCTGAACATGACGGCCAAAAACCCCGGAAAATAGTTTTCCCTCATAGAACTTGTTTTGATATCATATAACTTTAAGTTTTGACTCCATAAACTTACCTATATATCCGCAGTCTTCCTTTCCTATATCGCTTTGAATAAAATTTCTTTGGCTCCTTGGCAGTTTGTTGTGCAAGTTTCTCAAGAAAAACGTTCAGCTCACTCCCACATTTTTCAATTTCCATTTGTTTACGTCTTCTAAATTTCTCATAATTCTCTGTTAGAATTGTGTTAATTTCATCATCATCCAGTAAACTGTCACAGTTTTTACTTTCGACCACTGTTTTATTGTCTTTCGCAGAACTATCGATGATTGTGCTATTCTGAGTGGCTCCAAAAAGAGTTTTCTCACAGGATTCTGAAGAGCTGGAGTGGATTATTATCGTGTCATCTACAGCTGTATTGAACGAAGATCTTTCACGTTGTTCCACAACAGTGTTGTTACCATCATATTTTTCATCATAACTCTTGGATCCTTCTCCTCCCAAAACGTCTTTCAGAAATTTAACACTGGGCATTTTGAAAGCTCTTTCACTAGACTCAGATGCTACATAGACTAAAGGCAGCTTTTCACCATTTGAAAAAGAGTTTTCTTTAAGAGTAGAAATATTTGTTTTCTCACAGTTGAGTTTACCTCCTGATACATTTAGATTTCTCTGTGGAGTTCTGGGTTTAGCATCAGTATTATAATCTGCAGAAAGATACATAGCAAAATCGATACTTTCTTCAGATTTGCTTTCACAATTTGAGGAGCTTTGCTGGGAAATATCAAGATAATCATTTCTATTATGAATATTGTTCACGTTTGCATTGAACAGACCAGATAGCTTGTTATTTGTTATTTTGGACTTCGATGAACTCATCAGTATATCACATTGTGAATCAATATAACTAGCTTCCTGGGTATTATGCGATCTTGGCTGAAGAGAGGCCAGAATTGAGTCGACTCTAATACATTTTTCCACTGAATTATCATTTTTCGAAACCTCCATTAAGGTTTTCCTGTCCCTACTATGTTTTTCTCTTCTCAACATTTCTAACATATCATCAATTGTCAACTGACCTTCAGTCCGTTTTAAATCATTTGCTGATGGATGAATATTTCCACTACACTGTCTTAATAGAGTTTTTGGTGTCAGAAGTGGGATTCTATTTCCTTCCCTGGGCAAGTAATCTTTCATTAAATACTGCCTTTGTGTGTTAACAGAATTATGTTTTCTATCATCACAAGGTTCAACCCTTACCTTTAAAGGATCTATTTGGGGCACTGAGCTATCTCTCAAGCATTTCTCTGCAACACTTTGTCTTTCCTTTGAACAGAACTCCGAGTGAGAATTTTTTTTATTTTGTTTCAAACTCTCTATTATCTCCAAAATTGGTTTCTCAACAGTGGAGTTCCTAGTTGGAACTTCATTGAGCTTGCTCGATTTACAGTCTTCATCTTTCTTAGTGTTAGTTTCGAGTATATTTTTGTCATCGAGATTCTTGAAAAATTTTGTTATAAATTCGTTGAAACTCAGTTTTTCATCTTCGACTCTTCTTTTAGCTGACTTGTATTCGTTTGTCGTAAAAGGCATGCTGTTGAACTGATTCTGAATTTTATTACACGGTACAGATTCGACACTTTGACACTTCCTCAATAAGTCTTTCGGATCGGTATTAGAGTTACTCCTATTTTCTAATTTGTTTGACTTTGATAATTCAACATCATCATAAGTCAGACCCTTTTTAATGAAATATGACTTTCTAAGGTTTTCGAACATTTCTTTAATATCCCCATTACCGTTTTCCTTTCCTTTAGACATTGTTTGTTTGATTCTCTTTCGTCTTTCTGGAGAGAAAGTGGTGTTGGGATTCTCATCCTCGGAAGAACTATCCCAATTTCGTTTTCTATTATTTTTCTTTGAAGATTCTTCAGTAATGTTTTTGTGCACTTTTAAACTATTTTCTGTTCTTTTTTTAACTTTGAAAAAGGTTTCTATATCAGCAGCTCCCATTCTTGGTACACTAATGGCTTGGGTTTGATTCAAATAATTTTCTCTGCTGCTGTTTCTTCCACTAATATTTTCGTTCCCACCTAAGATAACCTTCTTAGCCAGTTTGTCTCTATCAGGAGAATAAAAAATGATTATGATTAATAAAATTACTAGAAAAATTTGTTTCGTTAGATGTCTAAATATTTTTGGAGTTATACGAGATCATTGAGAAAGAGCTGAAGTATTCCAAACTTCATGTTTTTGACAATAAGCTCAATACAAACCTTGAAATCATCAATATATTTTAGTTTTAAAGAGGTATTCAAGGGTATATGTTCTGTGAAATATACCTACTTCAAGTAGTAGCGCTGACAAAAATCCATTGTATTTCCTGAAGGCATACCTCTATCTACTGTTCATACTTTTACAGTTATTTTTCAATATATCTGTCTATACCTTCTAATTAGTAGTTATTATCTATGCAGAAGAGAAATTCCACCATATACAAGGTGATAATAAATAAGAGTCAAGAATTATAGATAGCAATGTATATCTACAACTAATTGTTGCAAAATTATCATATAAAATTTACCTCTCATTCTTTTTTGAGGCATCCAACTTTCCCAAAAAATCTTCGATTTCTGCTTGATTTTTCTTGCAACTTTCTGAAATCGAATTACAGGATTTTGAAAAACCAGCAACAGAAAATACTGCTATATTTTTATATTCCAATCTGCTAGTTTTGGATGTAATTCCACCAGATTTCTGAACTTTATGTACCAGTATTTGGTCCATTTTTGATGTCTTTTTTCAGCAGAATAGTTGTACAATTCCTAAAGAAAACATATAAATTATCTATCTATATAACTATTTTGGAATACTAACAATTGATAAGACCATATTCTGAATAGTAAAAATTTGAATTTGAATCTTAGTTGGCGTAGAAATTATACAGGTTATGTGGGTTGTCAAATCCTCAGATAACCTCCACAGAACACACACATAAAAGCTCGTGAAAGTTTCTGTATTGAACTCGCCAGATGGAGCCACATTTGTAAGAAGTTATGTAATATATATTTTGAAATTTGCATTCTAAATTAATTCTGCAGATCTTACAACGATAACTCATCATTGAATTCAGGAAAAAGATGTCATCAACCATAACGCATTCTTAGGCGTGTTGTTTGTGAAGCACAAAGAAACTTTTGTCAAATATCTTTGGGTGCGTCGCGGAACTCATTAACTCATATATAAGTTAATTACGAGTTCTGATGGCCAAGTATACTTACTTCAAATGAAAGTGAAACATGGAATACCGGTTACATTTATTAGAGACATTCAGCAGAGAGTTAAAATTTTAGGAGGGCATGGAATTGAAACAATTTCTTCAAATAACGATTTATTGTAAACATTTTTTGCTTTTATTTAAATATTTTATTATTACAAAACAGAAACATGTTACATTCGATTATCTAACATTGTTAAAATGATGAAGGTATTAAAAAGAATTTTAATTGCTATTGGTGTTCTGCACATATTCATTCAATATTATAACTACATTCAATATCTGTACAATAATAATCCAGTTTTGGAAGGTAACAGAATTCGATACCATATCATTTTTGATTCTTGTGTAACATCGATGAGGAATGAATTGACATATTCATAAAAGTTACTAGAAGCAGAATCAATTACTAGAAAATACTTGATTATATTCCAAAACTCAACATTCAACCCTTCATATTCTGTAATTCTGATTTATCCGACAAAAATAAAGAAGAGTTAACAAAAGGGACTGAATAATTATTGGATTCAAGCCGGTTGCATGTGTAGATCAAATATTGCATTGATTTGGAAAATTGTTTGTTTCATATTTTTGAAGACCTGAGAAAAAAATTTGATTTTATAACTTGTTGGAAATCTGTATTGATATTTTATCGTATTGGATTGGGGATTTCTTGGCTCTTCCTGAACAGACAGAAAAGTTTAACATTTATCCATTTATTCAATACCTACATGTTATGATGATTACAATAGAATAAAAAAAATGTTTCAATCTTCAAATATGCAGAAAATATTTCGAAGATGGAAAGAATACATGTGAGTAACTAATTGGAAAAATTTCTCGGTTGAAAATGTGATAAAGTAACTTCAGGTGTAATTTTGTCATTCACGAGTTTCACAAATTTCACCAAAATTCCTTGCCAGTAAAGAGGCAAAGTTATAACTTTTTTGTTTGAAACTATAATTTGCGATCACCTTTCATTCAAATTCGAATTCGAATTTTTCCGGGATGTCACATTTTTGACACATTTGACAGAATCTCGCTGTGGCTAAGTTTACGTGAACCGGATACTAACGTAAGAGAAAGTATTTCGCGGTAATGTGCGTTAACCTAATTTGGAAAAAACTCAAGATAAAGTCGTTGTTGACTCTCTCAACCGAAATTGATTAACATTTCCAAAACAATATGAGAGACACCTAAAATTTCGAATAAGCAGATAGATGAATAGGTATTCTCAGTACGAATTATAAGATGGTGAATGCTCATCAATATTTACCATTATTCGTACACAATTACGAATGATACAATAATTGTTCATCTTCAGTACCTCAAAACGGGCCCGAAAAGTGTGTATTTTTAATTTTTGAGAATATACTTGTGAACAGAAATTTTGAAAAAATAATGAATAATAAATGAAACAATGTTAATACTGAATAATTTTCATACAAAATCCATCTCAGAAATTTCTTCTGGGATTTGACTAACTTATTTGTTGTAACCATCATAACATTTACTATTTGATATTTCATTAAAATTCACAAAAAAATCAGTCACATCTAGTTATAAAATATGAAAACAGTCACGCAATAAAATATATTGATTCAATTAAGATGCGTATTGAAATTACATGTATTGAAATATTGCAAACATGATATGGAATTTACGTTAGAAAAACTTTTGAATTAGATACAGTTTTATTAAATTGTTGATTGATATGAATGAAACAAAGTGACAAATTTGTGTTTGTTGCAAACTTATAATTTCGAAATGAAAACATCCAAATATTCATATGTTTCCTGGAAAATAGCTTTCAATTTATTTAGGTCTCGTTAAGTAAACTAAATCTCACAATTTGGTGAAGAACCATATCAATGTTTTCATTTTTTAGATTCTGATTGATATAATTGAGAAATATGCCTTCAAAGTAATGAAGAAAACGATGTTCATAATTAATCATCCTGTACTAAAGAATTACCCATGTTTACTTCCTACTTAGTTCATGTACAAAATTTGTAAGAGCAATTTGCTGTGGAGATTTTTAGATATTATTTGGTTTTACTCATATCAGTCATCAAAGATTCATTTGATTTTAGTAATACCAAACTTTACAAATTTCATTCAATTTACATAATGAAAGAAGGATAAATGAAAACAGTCTAAATATCTCATTAAAATCCACTTGACTTCCCACAGAAATTCATGATTTTTTTGAAGTTTGTGGCAGACAACTGTGGAAAAATATAAAAATCATGAAAAAATATAATACAAAGTTATGAGTCAAGTGTATATCATGTTGCTATCAAGGCAAATTTTAGCAATGTTATGAAATGTATTCACAAACGTTGAGTTACCACGCATATAAATTAAAAACGGTAGAAGTTTTGATTGATTCGATGAATTACAGTAACAAATTTATACAAAGATATAGCTTGATAAAAGCTGTCGAAAGTTCATTTGGAGTTCATGACAGTTTTTGATTTGGAAGAAGGAAAGCTTTGCTATCGCATCTATCTTTGTTTGGTTGTTTGGATTACTTTGTTTGTTGAATGGATATAGTTTATTTGTCCAGTGAGAATTCTCAACAACCCAGATTTTTGGTAATTAGTAGGAATTGACTGACTTGAACATAACTGTTGAAGCAATAGCTGCAACGAAATATTGAAAAGTATGATAGAGCCACTGGCTCAGATTATTATTTAAAAAAAAATAATGTGGAATTATGTTTATTCTTGGCACGATTTCCATTATATTGAAAACCTGACTGGGTACTCTAGTGTAAAGGCAACATTTTTTGTCAAATAATCAAAAACCGTGAACTCCTGATCTTACAACTGGAATAGATTGTCACTTTGCCGTGAGAAAAGCACAGCTCTATTTACCTAAGCAAAAATGTACACTATTTATAATTTTTAATTTATCGAACGCTCATATTGTTTTTCATTCACTTTTCACAACCTTTTTATTGATTTCTTTAAAATCGAAGCTTAACTTTTAAATTAATTTTTACAATTGTTTAAAATTCCTTTATCTCAGTCAAATGAAGTCTATCATATCACGAATAAAGAATTATCTCGGTACACTTGTGATGGACACAGTTGAAAAATAATATTGTTCAACAGAAAAGTTAATTTTCATTGGTCAATATTTTCAACCAAGTATATTATGAGAATCTGAAATACATTCCTCAACTTGAAAGACGTTAAATTCATTCTGGACTTGTTTGTAGATATGTGGCTTCTTCTACAAGATAGTTTACTACAATTATATTGACGATGTAATGTATTCAATTTGTATTCCTTCTGATTTCTAAAACCTTTTTCACTTTCTGTTACTTCGTAAGACGATTGTGAGATATTTGAGGTCACTTTGTAAAACTTGACACCTTTCCATAGAAACCAGGATGAGAATTCGTTTGTTTTTTAAGAGAGTAGGATAATTAGTTATTGATTCTCTTTCTACTGATCAATGTCATTACAAAACTACACCAAATGATATGATTGGTAATGAGCCTTATCTCAAATGCATTTATCATAAATATTTCAAACTTTGTCGTACCAAAGAATCCATCAACAGTTTGGTGAGAAAATATATATTAGAATGTTGGTAAGTGTGATATTTATGAAAAATTCTTTGCAATGGACATACTGAGTGGTAGAATGGCAAAATAATATAATTGAAGTAAAAGTATATTCACAATCGAGGGATATTTTCCAGTATTATCCGATAATCTATAACAAATCGCTAATTATTCATTATAGCTTGATTGTACAAGAATATTTTGATTGGTTCAGTTACCAACTTTGAGCGAACAGGATTATCATTCTTGCCGCTTTATTTTACTTCGTTTTTCACACCTTCTTTCAATGATTTTTTAACGACCTGAATTCATTTGACTGAGATGCTTCATCTACACTTTATCATTTACTTTCTCATCATTAGCTTTGAAACAGTAATAATTGACATTTTCTGTACGATAAAAACCACAGGAAGAAAGTACAATAATTTCTTGAGATTTCTTGTTAGATAACAGGAAGCCTTTGACATATTTTTGTAACTTTATTTTCGTATTGATGCATCATATTACGTTGAGAGAGATGATTTCGTAGTCAAACTTGATAGGTATGGACCTTGATGGACCTTTAAATACATTTTTGTGAATTGAATGAAATCACACAACTCTTATAGAAAATCAAAGTTTTCAAACTATCCATTTTAATAATTAAGCAAGTTTCACATATAATTTTACAAATAAGCATTTGGTGAAACTTATAAAAAAAGAAAGTAATACAAATTATGAAACAACAAAAATTAATTGGCGCTCATTGGGCTTCATTGATTCCAGTGGCGCATTTATCTTTTTTGTGTGCTCTGTTCGTACTCGTGTTATGGTTAGTTTTTTTTAATTATTGTTTTTTTCCCCGCTATAAATATTGTATGTCTCTTGGAAAAATGAATTGTTATTATTATTATATCAGTAAAAACTCCATTAAGGTTATTGTTTTATTTTGATTGACTGATATTTGTTAAAAAACATAGATGACAGTTAGTCAATGACTGATTGTGACGTAGCGCATATTATCAATATCATTAATGACAATAATATTTATCAAGACGAAAAAAAACCTCATCTCTTGAAGACGCCGACTTGGTTGGTGAACTACGCGTCGAGAATAGTTTTACATTTCTGGTGATTGGGAAAAGTGCTCATTTTCGATTTATTCTATACCAGTTTAATATTTTATCACAAGTTGATGATTTAATTGTGATAACAATGAAACAAAACAGTGTAATATAGAGATGAGGATGTTAATCAGAAGGAAAACTTTTGATTCGGATTTGAGTTTTGTTGTTTTTCGATTTATTTTCAATTTTACTGAAAGATCATTAGATATCTAAATGCCTAGAGGAAATATTGATTTCTCTGCAAATTCAAGCTATTCAACTAGTAATTGCTTGGCTTGTCTTGTATTATGATCATTTAATATTTGAATTTTCTCAACAGTATGATGGAAACAATAAATTTTCAATTGTGGAATATATTGAACATCTAAAAGATCACAAGATATCGCAATTTGAATATGAGTTTCCTTTCTTCATTTTGCGGTCTTCTGAAATAATTTTAGTAAATTGATGGATGTATCTGTTACTACGTGGTAGGAAACCATAATGAAGAAAAGATATTTGAAACTTTCTATGTTGAAGAAAAGAGAATTAAAACTTTCCATGTTCTTCACCACTTTTATTTGTAACTAAAATTACTGCAGTTTCGTCCTATAAGGACATTTTCAAACTTATAACTTAATATGCATCTGAGGATGCGTGTGAATTTTTGCGAAACGCTATACGTAGTTTTTTTAGAAATCGATTACATTTATGACAAAAAACCACTGTACTCAAATCGCTGGATAAATAATTCGCAGTCAACGAACTTTTATAACTCCAGAATCTCTACCAATGAATTATTCTTGTTTTGAAATGGAAGCATTCATTTAATTTCGGAGAATGTGCTTGATGAAATGAAAGAACGAAGAAATATGATGCATCAATATGAAGAAATAGAATGATTTAACGTACCGATGAACAGATAAATACAATTAAATTCAACCACCCGGAAAGCACAGACATAACATGACAATATAATTTTTATTGTTTTATTGGTTTGCAAACTCTTCTACGATAATATCAATTACATTCCATTCACGTTTTTACAAGAATATTGCCAAGGCATTCTCTGCTTTCTGGGACATAACACACCATTCAGTCTAAACGTAACATTAAAAACGTAAACAATTAGTCTCTCTTATCTGATGTACTAGATACAACACACTATCATGCGCTAATTTGATATAAACAAGATTATTGATTGTATTTGCCATCCGGGAAGATGTACTGTCAGCCGTGTAGCCACCTCACTGCCCAGAGATCAGTCCAGGAAGCGGTCCTACTCTACATTATCAAGATTTCTTCTAGGCTTCCGCCACGTGGACGTCCATAGCTCAGTCCAACAGACCGTTCTTCGTACAGTATCACCCCAGGTGATTACTTCTTGGCTTCCTCTTTCTTCTCCTCTCTCTCTTTCACTTTCTCGTCGGTGTCGAGGTTAAGGCACTCTTCAAAAAAATGTTGCATCGAACTATAAACGTGTTCTATTACGCCTTCTAGTTGATGCCCTTCATCGGCATAACACTGCAAAATAAAGGAAATAGCGGATGATTGTGTGTTCATCAATGTAATAAATAATGGGAATGAAGAAAACGGTATAGTTTTGAATGATCAGTTGACGATTGCTTGTGTTAATTATTTTTCATTTGGCTAATACTTCATGAAAGTCCGTGATACATCTCTTGAAATTATAAACCCTTTCATGTGAGATTTCCATCAAAAAGTTTATGAAACCACAACAGAATTTTAACTTCACATTACCTATTTTATGTGTAACCAATCCAGTATTAGATATGCTTGAAGAATCAAAGACAAAATGAAACATGTGATATGCTGTAAAGGAGTTTATTGTTGAAAGTATATTATATTGATTTAAGTGGAAAATGCGAATTAGTTAAGAAATAAACAAGATAGAAATCCTCGACTTTTTAAGGAATAGTCGAAATTCATTAGTTCCTTCATATGAACCAAAATACACCAACAAACCAATCAAAAATTTGAATATACCTGCTACAAAGAACATAATAATAATAACTGCTTTATTGATAAAATACAAAAAACAACAAAAAGATGAATGAGAATGAGATTCTGGTACTCATTGGGGAAGTCTAGCTCAAAAACTCAACCAACAAGAACCACTCCATAATGAATGCGAACATACAGAAATTAAAAAATAAACTCAATTAGCATAACGGTACCATGAAAAGAGAAAAATGAATGAAAATATTAATTGGTCATTATCCCCTAAAGAGTTTTTTCTGATTGATTTGGCCGTTACTTGATGAAGATCCATAGTAATTTCATAAACTACAGAAACTACACAACTAAACAAACTTTTTGTGGAGATCTAATACTTTATGAAAAAACCTTGAACAGTCGATAAATCAAATTATTTTGTTGCTTATTCATTATTGATTTGTCCCTTGGTAAAAACTGAAAAACTGAATACCATAGATATAATTTTATATTTGTATATGAATCGATCAGGCAATGAATTGTAGAGTTTTACAACGACGAAAATAAATGATCTCTGGAACTGTGCAGTGCGAAGTCGTGGCATAGTTGATTTGTTTTCATCTCTAATATCCATTGAGTGGTACCAAGCATCACCCCTAAGTTTCTAGTTGTATTGACAGGAGTCAAGTTGGTATGACTTAGTTATAAGTCGAAATTGTGTTCACTTGATAAATGCTTGATTAAATCTAGATCAGCTTAGATTTTGTGCCTAAGCATACTCATTGAATTCAAAATGAACGCGTCATCAGCATGAGCCTGTATTTTACAATCCTTAATGGACGAGATAACGCCAGTAATATAAATAATGAACAAGAAAGGTCCCCAAATGGAACTCTGTGGTACTCCAGATGAAATATCAAGTGATGAGAAGTAGTGATCAACGAAACTAAATATATTTCACAAATTCAGGTTCCTACACCAGATAAGTCTAATGTCGCTGAACATGCCTTGGGGAACGATTGAAAATGTTCAGATCGGTACAGAATAACGGGGTTTAAGATGAACAGGATCGTACTTGCTCTCTCAAAATATTGACCTTTTTTGAGTTTTTCCCTTCCGGACAACTTATCTCAAACGAAAAATAGTAATTTACGTAGCAAACCCGGAAAATACTGTTTTTCTGGACGAGATGACAAAACTCTAGGACGAGCCGTATGCGACCCAAAAAAATTGCTTTCGAAAGTCTTGCGTACACTATTTTTTCGGCAACCGTGTAGAATAACAAATCAATGAGACTATATTTGAATGGTCTTGGCAATTTTAATTTTGTTTGAAAGTGAATTGTCTTTATAGCCTTCAGCGACATTGACAGACTTCCAGCCACCGTGTCTCTAAATTTGTGATGTTTCCACCATTATCAGCAAAAGACGTTGGTGGAGTTCGACGAGTGACCTGTGTGATGTTTGGGATTGGGTGAATTTGAAAATTCTGCGATTCATATTCCGAGATTCTCAAGACTGTGGATACCAACATACTGAACTGAACATTTCCTTTGTTTGTAATTCACGAATAATCTGTTTTATGGAGTGAGAGATGGCCGTAAAGATGAATAGTGTCATTAAAACAGTAGGCAGAGTTTCAGAATGAAGTTTTACTTAAATACCCTCTGTGACATTGTTGTCAGCACATCTCAATAGTCGACAAAATTTGCAATGAAAATCAGTGACGGCTCGTGTATTGGAGAACAGGGGGGCTAAAGTCATAAAGACTATATTCATACAGAAAAGCCCGCCGGCGGCGCGAAAATTTATTGGGTTACCGCACCTATTTGAAGCAAAATACGTAATATTTGCATAAATGCAAACAAACATTGTGTATTGCCGAAAATTAACCGCATAAAACTGACCATAAAAAGAAACAAAAACAAGGAAAAAGGTTTGTCTTTGAGTTATTCAACATGAATGAACTCTTCAAAGTCAATAAATAATACTTTTCTCTTCTAGTATAACAGTTTTGTTAAAAATTGCTACAAATATTTTATAAGCACAAGTATTTAATTAAGATTATCTTTGACATATCTAAAAACGATTGAAAATTGTGATGTACAGGTAATATCGGTAGTTTCATCAATTTTCCACGCAAAAAAAGAAACACTTTCAATCTCCTTGCTTATATTTTCCTTAATAATATATGCCACACTGTCTATAAGCTCATTTTGGATGGTTTTTGATGTGCCCGAAAAAACGCTACCGTTTAAAAAAGTGCCAAATTGGGAATCATATTTGCCCCATAACAATTAAAGTTCCTTGTAATTGCCGCGATTAATCGAATCTTCGGTTTCATCGTGTCCGCGAAAAGCTAATTCTTGGGAACCCAAATAAATCGTAATATCGATAAGTCTTTAAAAATTCGACCAATTCACCTTACTTGATTATTAAAAGAAATTATGACCTCTTTTTGAGCTGTATCTGAAAATATAAAAAAAGATGCAAACGAATCACAGTGCTTTACCTGATATCTAAAAAGAACCCTTGCCCGGGTTAAGGCGCTAGCTAGGGATACCCCATGCTGATAGGGGGCCGTAAGGTCGGCCAGACCGTGGATGAGGAAAAAAGACTTCTTTGGTACGTTTCGCGCTCGTTGCGTAGCATCAGCTTCCACGTAGCCTTTGTAGTTTTCCGTGGGTAGGCCTAAAATTCTCTCCGTGAATGCGGCATCTGGAAACAATGATATTATTTTTAAATTCACCACCGTCACGAAGAAACGAAAAATATGAGTTGAAAGTAACCAGGTTTAATTCAATGCCCCAAAAACACAGGCATCGGTTTTCTCCAAGAAGATACATGTCTCCGAACCGGATATAAGAATGTAAGGTCAGATAATTCCATTTTTCTGCTTCGATAAGTTTGTTGGGGGTTAAAATAGGCACCAATATGTCTTGTCACAATCATGACGGTGGAATTGCAAAGGCTGCTTCTCAAAAGTTTGGAACACTGTTCCGAACCAGAAAACTGTGAACACCACAGCAACTTTTGATGATTTATGAAGCTCAGATCTGACCTGTGGAGTATTGTCCTTATGTATGGAGCTCTGCCCCCAAACATACCCTGAAATTGATGGATTCTATCCAGAAAAGAGCCATCCACCTGATCCATCCAAATTTCCCTATCGGGCAAGAAAGGTAAGACGAATTTTATCGCTCGGCTCGGCCTACTTTCTGGGAGATTTGGATACTGTACCTCCTCTTGTTGTTAGTCGACTTATCGACTATAGCAAAAGGAACAAACTACAAATAGTAATGGGATGTGACGCCAATTCACACCATACAGCGTGGGGCAGCACGAATATAAACTGTAGGGGTGAGTTACTCTTTGATTATATACTAGGGAAGGGGCTGTCTGTGAATAATGAGGGCTCGGAGTCAACTTTTGTCACTAGTAATAGGCAAGAGGTATTAGATTTAACCATCAGCTCACATTCTCTGAGCAACAAGACACACCATTGGTCTGTATCTACTGAACCGTCTTGTTCAGACTATAGATATATTCTTTTCAATATTGAAACAGGTCTGAGACCAGTAGTAGAATATCGTGACTCAAAATCTACTGTCTGGAGGGGGTATAAAAACTCCCCCCAATCGTGATTTGAGGACGGATTCAGTACTATTCACAGTTGTAATAATATGGATTCAGTAGCGACGCAATTTCGCGAAGCAGAGATCTCATCCTTTCATGAGAACTATCCACTGAGGGTCAAAGGAGATAACCACAACTCTTCTTGGTGGAACAAAAGCCTGGAAAGTAAAAGAAAAGAAGTTCGACGACTATTAAATCTATCTAAAGAGTCAGGTAGCTGGGAGCTTTATAAAACCACTCAAACGACATACAGCAAGAAAATTAGAAAGGCAAAACGGGAGTCTTGGAGGAAGTTCTGTGAGAGTATCTCTGATTTACCTCGCAGCGCAAGAAATCACAAGATTCTCTCTAGAGAGTCGACTGCTAAAATTGGGTCGCTTAAACGACCCGATGGAAATCTGACTCTTGATAACAACATACCGCTCATCTTCGAGGGTGCTAAACGCCCAAAAAAGAACGACTGGGACGTCGCAGAGAAGGTTATCACAGCACCGGCAGCTGAATGGGCTATCAAGTCTTTTTAGTCCTTCAAATCTCCCGGAGAGGATGGTATATTTCCCGCTTTTCTTCAAAAAGGACTGGAAATAATTTTACCTATTCTCTCAAAATTGTATAGAGCTAGTCATGTTTGCAAAATAATATATTTCCTGAAATGTGGAAGATTTCTGAAATACTGGCTCTTCCTAAAATATCTAATCCAAATACTCTTAACGATCTGCGCCCCATTAGTCTGCTACCTACTTGTTCAAAAGTATTGAAAAAAATAATGAGTTTTCAAATCAAATGCTTTTTAAATTCCTTTAATATTTTACCAGTCAACCAGTCGGGATTTCGTAAAGAACACAGCTGTACAACTGCTCTCTTGAAAATAACTGATGATATTTTCGAAGCTGCAGACAAAGGTAACACGACTGCTTTGATACTTATAGACTTCTCCAAAGCTTTTGATACTATTAGTTATCCAATTTTATTTGCAATTTTGAACTTCATCGGGATCTCTGAACCTGCTATAAATTTAATTAAAAGCTATGTTAAAGATCGTTCACAGTTTGTAGAAACTTCGAAGGGAAAATCAAGCAGTGAATTTATTAAATTTGGAGTGCCTCAGGGATCTATACTTGGACCCTTATTATTTTGCATATACACTTGTGATCTAGTTTCTGTTTTAAGACATTGTAATTCACATATGTATGCGGATGATACTCAACTATATCTATCATTTAACCCTAAAGACGTTGCTACTGCTAATCAAAAATTGAATGAAGATTTAGCTCGTCTTATTTCAGCATCTGAAGCTCATAACCTCAAAATTAATTCAAACAAAACTAATCTACTTGTTTTTGATACAAATCGTAGCTTGGTGGAGAGACATATTAATATTGTTATTGGTGATACTGTAATATGCCCCACGAACGTGGCGTAAAAATTAGGTATCGAAATGGACGTGAATTTAGGGTTTACAAAACATGTCATAAAATGTGTGCAAAGAAGTTCCATGAGTTTGAAAATGCTTTATCCTCATCGTCATTTATTATCAATAAGTTTGAAAATAAAATTAACAAATGCTCTTGTGTTGAGTCATTTTGCATATTGTGATGTTGTGTATGGTTCGTGCCTGGATAAAAAAGATATTTTAAGAATTGAGAGAGTTCAAAAGTCATGTCTTAGGTATATATATGGTATTAGAAAATATGATAGAATTTCATATAAACTTAAGGAAACCAATTGGTTCACTATGGAAAATACACGTGTTTTACACTCCCACTTACGGCTACCCTCTTTTATAAAATATTGATTAACAAATGTCCATCATATTTGTATAACAAAATAAGATTTCGTAGCGATGTACACACTCTAAATTTGAGGTTTAAAGGGTTACTTTCTCCGCCGCCCCATCGAATCACTCTTTATCGACGATCCTTCAGTTATAATATATATAGTTTGTACAATAATATTCCACAAAAATATATAGTTAGTAAAGTTTCTTCATTTAAGTGCTGTTAAAAAAAATATCTCATCGCTGCTCAATCATAAAGCCATTGATTTCATAGATTTTATACTTCTGAAAAATTTTCAGTAATAAATTTGACATGTTTTCTCTCTCTCTTCCCTCTCTCTCCTTCCTCTTTTTTTCTCTTCTTTTTTCATTGTTTTTTCTCTCGTTTAGTTTTCTTTTCTTCAAGGCTAGAACTGAGATCAACAGTTCCCTTCCGGTACATGTTGTTTCTAGCCTTATTTGTAGTTTTTTTTATCATTTTAATAGATTGAATATTTATTGTATTTATATGGAACTACAAATGAATATTATTATTATTATTATTATATTCATCCCCCCTGAATAACCACCAGTATGCTTATCAACAGATTTGCAAATCGACAGATTTAGCATTAAACAACCTCGTTGAGAAAATCTCTCAAAACCTTGACAACAAGGAGATAGAGATAGAGATAGAGAGAAGGGTAGCTTGTTGAACGTTGTTCACAGTTGGTGCCTGAGGGAGCAGATGTCTGTCAACCCCAGCAAAACTGTGTTGTTCCCCTTCACCAAGAGAAGGAAATTGGACGATCTAACGCCACTTTCCCTCAATGGTGTGGTCATTCCATTTGGAACGGTGGTGAAATATCTTTGCATTGTCCTTGATAAAAGACTCACCTGGCGCTCACTTGGGCACCGAATCAGGTTCTTTGAGTTCGGCAGATCCGTAGTCTCACCATCTGACCTGAAAGACCACTCACCATACAAACTAATCGGCTTCGTTAAGAAGCTGGGTTTATTTGGCCGAGTGTGAATAGGTGTGAGCCACAATAAACCCTTGCGGGTTGCGGTGGAGGGTCGAATAGACCCACTCACTTTAGACCTACCTACCTACCACCTGATTGCAGACGCCGTAATGCAATGAGGCTGCGATTTATTGTGAATGTAAGACTGAATCCACTTTAGATGAAGAAAAATCGCACTAGAGGAGCGCCGTGTTCAGTGATGCTATTTATTATTTTGTCTTCTGAGCTACTGTTCTACAGTTTGAGAGTTGGAATATACTGATGACTTAGTTTACTTTGTAGAGTGATTATTAGATGACTGTGAAATACGCTTTTTACAATTTTTATATTAGTTCACTGTTTTTCTGACACAAGATCTACTGATTAGCATAAAAATGACTTGAACACACTGGCCGTTTTTGTGTGGCCCGACTTCGTGATTCACAAAACACAATGTAAAAGAGTTAAGTTAACGGCACCTGATGATATATTTAATCAATTGGAGGTGGTATGAAGTCAGCTAGAAATGAATAAAATGAAGTTCGTACGTCATGTAAACATTCAACATCATTCTACTTACTGTAATATAACCAGTCAGATATCGGACTAACTGCTACTCCACACTTGAACACTTTTTGTTGGTTTCCTAATCCTAGTACCATAGAGGTCACATACCCACCATATCCCCAACCCCAAAGTCCGACACGAGTTTTGTCGAGATATTTATGTTTATCTAAAAGGTACTCCAACACGGTCACCTGAAAAAAACAACACGCAGTAATAACATGAAAAAAACAACAGACGTTTCTGAGTCTGAGTCATATCATTTTAGACATCTAAATCCAGATTTTGTATGATAATGACCTGACTGAAATATAATTACCTGATCTTGTACTTCAACACCACCAAGTTGGTGGTAGAGCGAGCGATCAGTTTGACCCTTGGCACCTCGGACGTCAAGTTTAACGTAAACTACGTCGCAATGACTTGACATGTAGGTCCCCCAATCAACCTTGAACTCTTCTGTAACTGATTTACTGCCTGGCCTGCCATTACTGAAATAAAAACACACCAATATGTATCTGTTTCATGTAAGTACACATATACATGAAAACATTTATTATTTTTATATTCATACATATGAGGAAACATATTTTTATTTTGCATCAAGAAATTCTTTGATACTATAGTAACATTTGTCTTGCAAATATACTTTCAATTTTGATTTGAAGAAGTTTTTATTCCGTTACTCTCTCAGGATTGCGGGAAGATGATTGAAAAACTTTATACTTCTATATGAGGGGCTTTTTTCATAGATCTCCGTTTCTAGTTGGGTGACCATGGCAATGAGAAACTGTTTGATACATCTCAACATGTTGCATAAATAACATTATACATTTGAAAACATAAATACATGGAACTGTTGAAATTTCATATTTTAAAACTAGGTTTTTGGGCAGCGAGTCATTCCCTCATAGAATTCAAAAGTTCGACCGGATACATAAATAAGCTATTATTGATTCATACTTAATTCCATCGTCTTGTAGAAGTTACATTTCCAAAATTTTATACAAGGTGTTGGGGATCGATGACTGATTCTGAAGATATAAAGATGAGTCAAAACTTGGTTTTCCCAAATGGAATACCCTGTATTTCGGGATTATTTTGGATTTCAGAAACGATTTCAACTCATTTTCATCATGAAATATTCTTAATATCAAAAATCGACTGTTCACGAGATATTTCAGTTGGGAGGGAGAACAAAGTTGATATTTCCAGTGCCGTAATTTAAAAGTGAATAATTCACATAATTATAATCGAATATTACCGAAACATCCTGAAATATAAAATTGAATTTAATTTCTCATTATGAAGTGAACGTCTACGATTCAAAAACTACAACAAAAAATATAGGCCTGTATTTAAAAATTCAAAGATGGGGGTGGCCTAAGTCAGATGACACCCAGTATAAAAGATTCATGGATATATTCTGAGAGCCCACATCAAGTGCCAATGGCAAAATTTGGACAGATTTTCAATATGTCTGCGAATAAAGAAGATAGAGGCAAAAAAATAATTTGGAATTTTTTGGTTTTTCCTGTATATCTCCAGAACCAAAAGAGCTAATTCCATTTCTCTGCATCATTGAATAGGTCTCTGAAATACGCAACTTTGATATAATTTAACCAACACCCTATCTCTTATCGTTTACGAGATCCCCATGTACAGAAACGAATTTGAATAGCCCTGTATATTGTTTCGTATATTCTGTAATACATTCATCCTATACAGGGTATTTCAAATTCAATCCTCACAATATGCCGTTGAGAAAGTTCTGAAATTCCCAGTATATCCGGAGATATCCGGAAAAAACAAAAATTTCGGAAAATGGTTTTTATTTTTTTCTGGCTTTATTATTCGAAGGATTCTGAAATAAATCGCACTTCCACATTACCACTTCCTCCCTGCTACATGGTGGTGTTTTCAGATTCGCCATCCGACGCTTATGGGCGCTACATTGGATTCTTTCTGTTTTGAATAGAACCACATCCAGAAACAAGCCAACCTCCTGATTGGAGATTTGTCTCTCGTCTATAGGTACTTTCACGGAAAGTGTTCAAATGACTTGGCTACTTTCGCACCGGTTTCAACCTCAAAAAAGTCAGTCGGCTTTCCAAAGAATGTGTCTTGAATATATTCGATCTGTTTTAGTTTCGGTGTCGGTGTCGCACACTGTATAGATAATGAATATGATAACGAAAGTCAAGAATACTCACACTTCAACTAGGACAGGATAGGCCGCATCTCGTAGTTCCTCCCTCCAAGAGGGCGGCAGGAGTAGCTGCACTTGGGCCCTACTCCCCTGGGGTAAAGGCACCTCGAAAGACTTCTTCTTGGGCATGGCCAACCTTTCCAGAAGAGGCCACCTGCTCGGCCTCGTGTCGTAGAGGATTTTGACGAATTTGTGCGACTCCGCGTTGTGCAGCGACGCCAATGGAAGCCCTGGTCCTTCGCAGTGAAGGACGTAGAATGAGGAGTTCGAGTGCTCCAGGCGAGGACTGACCTAAACAAACATTTTCGTATCTCAGAACGTCTTGAAAGTTGCTTGTGGGCGGTTGGAAAGACGGGAAATTGATGGGATGGCTGGAATATCAAGAAATTGGGATATTCATCATCTTTAGATTCGTCAGTGTGGGGTATTTTGAGAGTTAAATCATGTATACATAGTTCAAAGTTCGAAATTGAGAAAAGTGACCCCAAAAACTATTTTGAATTTAGAGTTTCTCAAGGAACGGTCTATTTATATTTAATATATACCAATGACTTGTTTTTTTCTGAAATTTCCACCTTCCACGCTGAAGATGATGAAAATCTTAACGAACACTTCATACAGAATCAAAAACGGCAAACTTCCAGTGCACCCCAATAAGTTTCATTTTTTAATATTTCAGTACATTTACTTCAAAGTGCAACATACATTTTGGCGAAGGAATTACTTGAAAATTTGGCGAAGGCATTGGTTTTGGTGGATATGTTTTGCATGTGTGAAAGTATACGGACTCTCTTCTCTGTAATGTTTCCAATCAAGAATAGGAAAAACAATAAACAATAAGAAAATAATTAATGAAGATTTCTCTTTGTTTATTGCGTCTTTTATAATTTGAAACCATTCTTTATTGAACATTCAGAGCGTTCTGTTGAATGACATCTCTTTGAATGTTTGACGTACAAAACACCTGATTCCAAAAGTCAAGTGAGGTAACAGAAGCTCGTTTATACTATTCTATGTACGTTATTGATGCCCATTTTGAGCATTTCATGGAATTAATGTGTCTGTTTGGTTTCAATTTCAACGACGAAATTGAATATAATCTCAAGAAAATATTTTCCTGACATCACTCATCGATGTGATATTGAAAATGTTACAAGATTGAATGCATAATTGAAAAACCTCTCAAATTAGGTGTCACTCAACAACTATTGCCATTCAGACTATTCGTATGGGTTACGTATGGGTTATAGGCAAAAGGTGGGAGAAAAAGCTTTGATTTTTGCGTAGAAATGTGTTTTTTTCAACAGAACTTCAAGTTTACTCGAAGTGTGACTCATTTCAACTTGAATGCACGTTATATTGGAAGTTTTTCTTTAAATTTGTGTTATTTTCAACTTTCTCGAAATTTATAGTTTTGGCAAAGGGGAGTTCAGAACTTTGGCGAAGGAATTGGTTATATGGATAGAGTCATATGGCTCTCCAAATCTAGTAGAGTGAATTTTGTCAAAAAACTCACGATATTTTGGAAGAATCAATAGAATTTTTTCACGACATTTATATATTGTGAAATTGATAGAAAGTTGAAGAATGACAGAACATTCGACATCATAAGGTCTTGAAATATGTGAAATAACTTATTCAGATGGATTCTAATTCGAAATTATCGGAAAATTCAAGTTTTTATATTCTATCAAGTTGAAGTTTTACAAATGGTTTTCACTTCATGAATGTGAAACAAATATTCTATATACAAAAGAAACATAAGTTTCAAGTTCAATATTTTATTAATTTCATTTCAAAACGCAACATAAATTTTGGCGAATGAACTCTTCTAATATTTGGCGAAAACACATCATGTGTTGGTTGGCTTGAAAATGCCTCTTTCGAGTTTTTATATTATTCAATTAGGTTGAAATTTCACAAATGGTTTTCACTTCATGAACGTGAGATAAGTTTTCTATATGCGAATGAAATATGTGCAAGTTTTATTTTTTTTAATATTTCAGTAATTCTATTTTAAAACGCAACATAAATTTTTGGCGAAGGAACTATTCGAATATTTGGCGAAGGCACATCACGTGTTGGTTGATTTGAACATGTCTTTTCTGAGTTTTCATATCGTTCTATCAAGTTGAAGTTTTACAAATGATTTTTACTTCAAGAATGTGAAATGAATACTCTATATGCAAATGAAATATGTATAAGTTTCATTTTATCAATATTTCAGTAATTTTATTTCGAAACGCAACATAAAATTTGGCGAAGGACCTATTCGAATATTTGGCGAAGGCACAGCACGTGTTGGTTGATTTAAACATGTCTTCCGAGTTTTCATATCGTTCTATCAAGTTGAAGTTTCACAAATGATTTTCACTCCAAGAATGTGAAATAAATAGTCTATATGCAAATAAAATATGCATAAGTTTCATTTTATCAATATTTCAGTAATTTCATTTCGAAACGCAACATAAAATTTGTCGAAGGAACTATTCGAATATTTGGCGAAGGCACTGCTTGTGTCGGTTAACTAAAATGTCTTTTCCGAGTTTTTCAAATCATTCTATCTAGTTGAAGTTTCACAAATGATTTTTACTCCAAGAATGTGAAATAAATATTCTATATGCAAATGAAATATGTATAAGTTTCATTTTATCAATATTCCAGTAATTTCATTTCGAAACGCAACATAAAATTTGGCGAAGGAACTATTCGAATATTTGGCGAAGGCACAGCACATGTTGGTTGATCTAAACATGTGTCTTCCGTGTTTTCATATCATTCCATCAAGTTGAAGTTTCACGAATGATTTTCTCTTCAAGAATGTGAAATGAATATTCTATATGCAAATGAAATATGTATAAGTTTCATTTTATCAATATTTCAGTAATTTTATTTCAAAACGCAACATAAAATTTGGCGAAGGAACTATTCGAATATTTGGCGAAGGCACATCATGTGTTGGTTGACTAAAAGATGTCTCTTTTGTGTTTTTATATCATTCTATTGAGTTGAAGTTTCACAAATGGTTTTCAATTCATGAAATAAATATTCTATATGCAAATGAAATATGTATAAACCTAATTATATCAATATTTCAGTAATTTTATTTCAAAACGCAACAAAAATTTTGGCGAAGGAACTATTCGAATATTTGGTGAAGGCACAGCACGTGTTGGTTGATTTAAACATATCTTTTCCGAGTTTTTCAAATCATTCTATCAAGTTGAAGTTTCACAAATGATTTTTACTTCAAGAATGTGAAATAAATATTCTATATGCAAATGAAATATGTATAAGTTTCATTTTATCAATATTTCAGTAATTTCATTTCGAAACGCAACATAAAATTTGGCGAAGGAAGTATTCGAATATTTGGCGAAGGCACTGCATGTGTTGGTTGACTAAAAGATGTCTCTTTCGAGTTTTTATATCATTCTATTGAGTTGAAGTTTCACAAATGGTTTTCAATTCATGAAATGAATANTCCTATATGCAAATGAAATATGTGAAGTTTTATTTTTTCAACATTTTAATAATTTTATTTCAAAACGCAACAATAATTTTGGCGAAGGAACTATTCGAATATTTGGCGAAGGCACAGCACGTGGTGGTTGATTTAAACATGTGTCTTCCGTGTTTTCATATCATTCTATCAAGTTGAAGTTTCACAAATGATTTTCACTTAATTCAAAGGAAAAATCAAAGAGTATATTGTGACAAGTTGATTGTATTTCCTTTCAAAATCCATATCTTGGTTGAGAAAAATGTGACATGTCACTGTATCTTCAATTAACAATTTTTTCATCAAATCGTTTGAGAGATATGAATATTGTGCATGGAAAAAGTAGCCATCTTGTGTACGAAACTGATCGAGATTTGGCAATAAATTGCATCGAACTACGAAAACGAATCGAATAAAAACAAACCTGAGCACTGAAGTGGGTGCAGTTTCCGTATAAATATCTGCTACTCCAGAGCACGTCCCCCAGGTCGCACGTGATACAGGAAGACTCGACTCGACGGGGGTCATCCGTACTGGGGTCACGTACCACATATAAATGTCGCTGACCGGGTTTGTTTTCTTCCGTCGCCAAGTAATAACTGAAAAAACGAGCAAGGTCAATTTAGTCAATTTTGTCGATTGAAATCAATTGAAAAACTTTGAAATTAAATAATGAAGTGTATATTCAAATTCAAGTAGCTAGAAAAACTAGAAAATTTTTCATGCCGACTTGAAGTCAATTTATGTGGCTGAATTCATTTGTTTTTTTAACCGAATGAACTCCATTGAGGAAAACAAATATATTAGATTCAAGTGTAATATACCTGGTATACCCCTAGACAATAATACAATAAAAAATAACTCCACTTTGAAATTTTTGGGAATTCATTTAGAAGAAAATTTGAAATTCTCTCAGCATATTGCACACATCAATGGAAAATTGGCATCAGGATGTTTCGCACTGAGAAACATCTCAAAGGAACTGGGGTTTGCTGCAGCCAAAGTAGTGTACTATACCTTAATAGGTATGGTATACCCTTTTGGGGTGTTTGCAGTAAACAACTTATGCAGTTCGTTTTTATCTTGCAGGAAAGGGCTATCAGGTACTTATGTAAAGCGAAATGGCGGGATTAATGTAAACCCCTTTTTCGAGAATATAGAATCCTTACGATTATTTCAATATTTATATTAGAAACCGTGTAAATTATACAGAAAAATAGGAAGAGCTATGAATCTACAGCTACAGCCACATACCACACAAAGCGGTCGAATGAACTGAGTCTACCAATTCCAAAAACATGTTTGCTTCAAAATTCGTTGATATATAATGGACTCAGGATATACAATAAACTTCCCAATGAAATCAAAGAGACTTCTTCCATCATATTTAGAAAGAAATTTACAAAACTATCAAGTAGCCTAATATGACCTACAAGAATATTTTGACGATGCCCTGTAATTTAGAATGTGATGGAACTGCGATTGTACTGTGTGTGAAACATATGTTTTTATTCATGTTCCTAGTTTTTGTCATGTAACCTCTGCATATGTATGTATATATAGTTTATATTTTATTTTAATCATTTGAATTGTATACACCTATACTTCACATCTCACACTTCATGTTTATATTGATATTTATTCATGACATTGTGTTTGCGACAAGAATTTCATTCTTAAACAATAAACATATTATCAATCAAAACATTAAAGCAAGTAGGCCGTGGTGGAATGAAACCTAAAATACGAAATGTTCCGTCTGCAACTGCGGCAGACATCATCAATTCGCGTTGAATGCGAGGACCAAAGTTATGTCTCAAGTTTCAGCGAAGAATTATTGACTGACAGAACTAACTAACTCCTAACAAGCTGATACGTTTGGTGGAAACTACCTTGACGGAAACAAAAAATGAAATGAGCTGAGTAGGTCGGTAACCGAGCGGTTAGACGTGGGTGCTTTGTTCGCTCTCTCAATCGACCAATATGTGAGTCGGTGGTTCAAGTCGCAGACTGAACAATCGACTTACGATTTCTATCGTCCAACCCATCCTAGGAATCACACGTTGAAAGGCAACACCTCGTTAGTCCTCAGCTCGCACAAGTTTAGATTTCTGAGGGTTGTCGTTCGTCGTTAAACATATTTTTTTAAAATACTGAATCAAGTAGATTTTGAAGAAGACCTCATGTGGGTTTTTTGTTGAACGGGTTTCAACTTGGTGACTGAGTTGTGATCACCTCATTAAGTGTCTAAAACCAAATCGATTCCATCAGCAGCTCGAGCAGTTGCCTTAAAAAATGCTTCAATTCCTACTCTTTCATGGTCGCGGATCGTGCAAAGAAGGACATCGTAGAACTGGCAACACTAATGTCAATAGGTAAAATGTGGCAACACCGACATTTTCAAGCATAAACAAATTAAGAACAATCAGAACAATTTGATGTACAAGTGCTATTTGTTTTGTTTACCAAATTGACCAAATTTGACAAAAAAATTGAAATTTCGAGAGGTTTTCGACGTAGATTATCTCAACAACAATGTGTAGATGAACTCAGTTTTTTGTATGGCGATGAAACACCATCAAGAATAACAGTATATCGCTGGTATGGTGAATTCAATCGTGATCTTAGTTCGGTCGCCAACGAATTCCGTGAAGGTCGTCCAAAATCGGTTGTTGTGCCATAAAACATCGATGCAGTACGTGAATTGATGATGCAAAATCGTCATGTGACATATTTATAATGCACTGTTTGGAACCTTTGCTGTAGTAATGAATATTACTGGAGTTTTTTCCCAACCCCAAGTCGTTATTTTTAACACCTAGAGACGTGTTTCGATCACCAAGTGATCATGTTCAAAGAGGAAGATTAAAACTAAAAACTAATGCGAGCTAACCCTATTTATACTATATACTTATCCCAGTGGTGACGCTTGGATAGAGGGAAGATGCCAGGACAGCGCAGGGCAGTGGCATTATTCATGTCCGAGAATATTTTTATTGACTTGAATGAGGTTGGAATCTTCCAATCCCTCTGCACACAATTCAATAGCATAAATTTCCGCTTGAAATACAGTCGCATACGTTCCTAGGCAGGTTAATATCTCTGTCCTGGGTCTGACATTATGACAATGCGAGCTGTCACATATTTCTTCAAACAGGTGAACTTTTAGAGCAGTCAAAACATCGTACAGTCCTGATTTAACACCCAATGACTTCTTCTTGTGTCCGAATATCTGCTTTGGTTAATGGTTTGAAAGAATGAAAAAGTGTATTGATCATCAAGGGGAGTATTTTGAAAAACGATAAAGCCATTTTCATTAAAAAATGTTTGTTTTTATCTGCTATTCCCGAAATATGAATAGTACGCCTCCGTCCCTTCGGCATACAGATAGCTATTATATTATTATTATTGTTGGAGATTCATAGTCTAACTCTCGTTACAAGATACTGGTACAGAATTTAAAATTCTATAGAGTGCTGTCATGCATAAAGATGTACCAGCTGCTGAATCAAAAATTGCGCCTAGGTGGCGAAAATACAAGTTTTCCCCGAATAATATGGAAGCCTTTCGAAATTGAACATTGATTGATGACGTATTCATTCAAATGGCAAACGTTCGCCAATTTCCAAGCGACAAATGGACTGCGACTCACAAGACAAACACTTCTGACGTCGATTTGAAGCGCGCTTCCTTTGAATATCAAAGTGTGAATTGTTGACGGCAGCAATTAGTTTACCCAAGGTATATCCAACGTACAGAATAAACATTTGCCTTTGCCGGCTGTCATTCATCACGATATTTCACCTTGGTTATACAACGTCATTATTTTATGGAGATATTTGATTCAGTTGCTTGCTATTGCTATGTTGGCGAATATTTGGTGACTGAACTGATCTTTTTGTATTGACTGAAGAAATAATAAGATCTGAAATAGTTTTCTGAAAACATAAAATGAGGTTTTTCAGTTCATAATTGTTATTCGTAACCACTTCAACATGTTAACTTATTCACTTCTTTGATTAACGACTTATTTATTTTGTAGAAATTCATGTTCACTGGGAATATACTATAAAAACACACTTTTGTCTATTTTTCACGATAGTTTTATATTTGTTGACTAGTTTCGGTCATTACACCACTTTCAAAACTAACTAGATTATATTCAAATTTGATTATTTATACCTACACTGCATGTAACTATTATGAATAATTTGATACCTACATTATCTATATCTGGGATAACCTCAATTAATAGCAGTACATTGATGAACATAACAAAAAATTTGATGGAATGTAGGTTTGAAATCTATGGAAATAAACAAGTCAAACAAAAATCCCAATTCTATTATCCTCAACGAACAACTTGATCTAAACAATACTCCTCTCCTGAACCTATAACCCAGTTCTCAAAACCTACATTTTATCAAATTTTTTGTTATGTTCATCAATATATTGCTATTAGTTGAGGTTATCCCCGTTATCCACAATGTAGGTATCAAATTATACAGGGCTTTTCATGATTAGCGTTAATCAGCCGTTTCTGGCAAACTATTCAACGGATCAACCTGAAAATTCCACAGTATGCATAAGTCAACATGACCTACACGCCTAAAATTTTAGACGAAGCGGCGTTGTCGCTTCTACTATAAAGTAGCGGCTTATTTGATTTTTCAAATAGAACACCCTGTATATAATATCATATTATGATTCATTATCACCTTGACAACAAATTCATATACTATTTCCCTATATCTATCTATTACCGTTTAGAAGATATAAATTAATTTCGATATTTTTTTTACCAAACATGAACTTTTATAAATGCTGATAATCTTGAACTCTATTGCACTAAAACCATCGAATTTGAAATGGAGTGGAGTGATACTATGAGGATCTTCACTTCGAGTCATATTTTCATTTGCCTCATACAGGGTCTTCAAAAAATGCAGATACTTTGATCTCATGAAAAAATGTGTGGAACTCAATTTTTCATATGGAACACCCTGTATATTTCAACATTTTTGAACTCTACATCCAATTTTAGATTAACTTTTTTCAGATAATACTATTTCTATTTTGAACCGTTTTCGAGATAAACTGTTTCAAACGTAAATTGACATGGTTTCCTTGTTCATCACTCATTTTTGTAAAACATATTTCGTTTGCTGTTTCTCAATTAGTCACAGATAATACAATGAAAAGATTATTATTAAAATACTTCTCAACCATCGAATGAAACTTCTCTTCAAACAATAGTTTTATTAACGCTGAAACACGAACTGAAAATAATAAACCTATAAATTAATGAGTTAATTTATTCGTCAGTGTATTTCAGAATATGTTCAAACACATCTCCACCTCTACTTAAACAAACATGTAATCTTTTCAAAAGATTGCCATGTGTAGCGCTTCTGATCAAGTCTGGAGTCAAACTATTGAAAACAGTTGTAACTCTCGATTTCATATCTTCCATTGTTGTTATTGAAGTAGAGTAAACCATATTTTTAATTAAAAACCACACGAAATAATCTAATGGATTGCCATCTGGTGTTCTAGGAGGCCAACGAAAAGGTCCATTATTACCAATCCATCTGTCTTCGAAGATTTCGGTTAAAGCTCCGCTGACTGAATGAGAATTATGGTAAAAGTGTGTTTTTATAGTGTATCCTCAGTTAACTTATTCAGACCATATACCGAAAATCTCGTGACCAGCAGAATAATCAAATAGCGTTCCCACTTACATGCGATGGCTGACAGTGTCCCAGGCCAGGATCCTGTTGACCTCGTGCCTGCCGTGGCTGAGGACGGCCATATGCTGCTGCGTAACGGTGACATGTTTGATGTGGGTGTACGTCTCTCTGCTTCCCTCCTGGACCGGAGCCAGCATCAGAAAACTGTCGCCGTCCGGAGAGAACATCGGATGCTCCTGGATCTCGAGCCATGCCTTCTCATGGGCCCGCTCTGCGTGGGTCTGGAAAAGCGCAGAGGAAATCATTTGTGCCGCGACGGAGGAGGGTCACAAGAGGAAGTGGATGTTTATAATAATAATGCAAATATGTGAAAGGGTGTCCTTCTTGGATCACTTTACTTGTTCAGGGTATATGACATTCGGACCCGATGATCACTTAACCCACGGTGTGGGGAGTGACCGTTGGTTGATAATGCTGGCGTGCCCTCCCGAATGTATCGGGGCTTCGGGGGATAGGGCCAGACCAGCGCAAACTTCCTTAGTGACGTGCAGAAACATGTAGAGTATGTCAAAAAACAGTAGCCAATTGAATAAAGAAAAAGAACTGAAAGTAAAATTCTTCCAAGGAGTAAAATCCACCTTCCTAAGACATTGTCACACTAACCTCAATGCAAGTCCAGTTGGGGGCGAGACAAGCCGAGACGATACTCAGGTTTTGTGCTCGGTTAATCCACACGACCGACACTTGAGTGTTCTTCTGTCCGATCCAGCCGGCTGACGTTAAATAGTAGTCTCTGAAAATCAAAATGACGGTGATCAATTCAATTGTGGCTGATCTGTGCAGTTTTTTTATATATTCATACAGGGCTATTCAAATTTCTGTACATGACGATCTCGTAAACGATAAGAGATAGAGTGTCGGTTAAATTATGGCATAGTTGCGTATTTTAGAGACCTATTCAATGATGTGAAGGAATCAAATGAAGCTCTTTTGGCTTCCCAAATTATTTTTTTGCCTATATCTTCTTTATTCGCAGACATATTGAAAATCTGTCCACATTTTGCTATTGGCACTTGATGTGGGCTTTCAGAATATATCCATGAATCTTTTATACAGGGTGTCATCTGACTTGGGCCACCCCCATCTATCGCTAATAGCGACCTACTAGATAGATTAGTTTCGTATTTTCGCATTTATGAGATGTATCTCTGTAATTGTTCGTAAAATAATTTTTTGCTGCGAACTGGTTTATTTTGGGCAAAAAACCCAAGAGACATTTTTTGTTTAGAATGAAACAGGCTATCGGAAATAAATTTTTAAATGGTAAACAAATAATAAGACAAAAAGTTACATTGGAAATAAATTTTAGGGGCTGCGTTTTCCACCCCTTACAACCATGGGATAAACTGCTGACGTTAAATAGCAGTCTCTGAAAATCAGAATGACGGTGATCAATTTAATTGTGGCTGATCCGTGCAGTTTTTTTATATATTTATACAGGGTTATTCAAATTCGTTTCTGTACATGGGGATCTCGTAAACGATAAGAGATAGAGTGTCGGTTGAATTATGACAAAGTTGCGTATTTTAGAGACCTGTTCAATGATGTGAAGGAATCAAATATAGCCCTTTTGGTTCTGGAGATATACAGGAAAAACCAAGAAATTCCAAATTATTGTTTTGCCTATATCTTCTTTATTCGCAGACATATTGAAAATCTGTCCACATTTTACTATTGGCACTTGATGTGGGCTCTCAGAATATATGCATGAATCTTTTATACAGGGTGTCATCTGACTTGGGCCACCCCCATCTTTGAATTTTTAAATACGGACCTGTATTTTTGTTGTAGTTTTTGGATCTTCAAATCACAAATTGATTTTCCATTTCCTTGTAACTCTGTATTGTGCTCAATCAAATATTTTGAAATATCTTTCAGAAAAGCTACAACCAGCATATTGCGCTCGTTTTTATAAACTTAAAGTGCTCTGGCTCCCTGCGTATCCAAGTTTTGCAAGAAGGTGGATACTTGTTCTTTTATTAGCCAGAAACGTTCAATAACTTGACCTTTACTCAGCCAACGAACATTCTTGTGTTGTAGTAAGTCAGAAAACTCAGAATTTCATTCAGAAAGGAACTCTTTGCTGACGAGCAGAATGGAATCTCATAAAATTACTCATCTTGACCAAGTTGTCCATCACTTCTTTGAGTGTAGCACTCAAAGTGCTAGTTTTCCACAAAAGGCTGATATTAGACCTGAATTTTTGTTTATGATCCTCTTTACTACACCTTTTTCTTTGCCAATCATTGCTGGGGCCCCCCTCAGTTGGAAGCGAAACTATCTTATCATAACTGATGTTATAATTCATAATAAAATCATCAACGGCCTTGAATAAGTCTTCTCCTCGAGTGTTACCTTTCATTGGCAATATTGCTAGCAACTTTTCCCTAAAAATCCGACACTCAATGTCAATAAATCTTACGAAAATTGACATTTGTTCATCATCAACAATGTCACATGATTCATCAAGTGCTATGGCGTAGCAAAGTGCTTTTTGCAGCAGTTCAAGAAGAATGTTTTTAATATCAGCAACTAAAATTTCAGTTCTTCTTGTATTAGTTCTCGCTGACAATGGAATAATTTGAATTGCAGAGACATCTTTTTTTCTTCAAAAAGTGACGTAACTACTGTCAACAAACATTCCTTCACTATCTCAGAATCTGAAAATGGTTTCTGGTGTTTATTAGGCGTCCAGCACACACGTGACGCCGCTTCTGTGGATTTTTCTTGGTCGCTCATGCTACGAACTAGTAATTTTGTACTCGTTTCGTAAGGAATGAGATATGTCTGAATTTTTTCTTTACTAGCCTGACTGCCAAGAGGAAAGTTTTTGTGGAATTGCTGATGAGTTGTTTCGTAGTGTCGCTTCAAATTTCCGCTTTCAACAATAGTGACAGTTTCATTGCATATAAGTCTCACAGGAATTGCTTAAATCCTATCAGGCAGCGTACAATATTGTTCAATCCATTCTGCCAAAAACCTTCTGTTTCCACTGTCAACTTTTCGTTTTTTAGGTAGGTGCAGAAAGATTTTTTATCAAACGAACGAAAACGACAGAAATCATAAAACAAAGCGCTGCTTCTGATGAATGGCAGTCTGCTTTAAGTGCTTTCCCATATCCCCACTATCGATTTCGATACGCGCTCGTGCTTGTTTCAACAAAATAAAACAAACAGGAGCAAGCACGTTGAAGTTGAAGTTGAAATTGAAGCAATTTTGATCAGAAACAAAACTTGTATTTCACTTTTCACCGTTGAATCACTCAAAAAGGCGATTTTTAAATAATTTTTTTGTAACTTATATTTGGAAAAGTATGGAAGATTCTGTTTCATTTTCTTGGGTGTTAATGGCATCGACTGCTTGGTCATAAGCCCTTTATTTTGGGTACAGACCGATAATAACTCCCTAAGCCGCTTAGGGAGCTACTCGCAGTTTGATGTCCTATTTTATTGGTTTTTACCTGTAAAAAATATAATAAAACTGACCGGCACTTGAAAATCCGTTATAACGTTTTAAAAAACACTTCAATGTGAGATTTACACTTGTCAGTTTGCAAAACCTTGAAAACTGTATCGTTATACAGTAGCATCTTCAGGCGTCACAATACAGTTTTACCTGTTATATTGAAACAGTTACCGATGTTGTTCATTCATTCGAGACCTTCTTTTGTATTACAGAACCCGAAAGCACGGTCTAGTAGAGTCTTTTAATTTTTTACAGATTTGTTCAGATATTTCAAATCAATTTATATCATACTAGACAATGGAAGTCCTAACTGATGAAATTCACAATTTGAATCAGTTCATACATCAGTGTTTAGAAGACTATTCATGTACAATGGAATTTATGATCAGAAAAACAATATAGCTACAACCGAAACAATTCTCACATCAATTACCAACAATATTGAAACACAATCGCCATCTGTTTTCATTCTGTTTTTCGGTCAACCAGAAACGCAATCAAATTTCAATTTCGGCATCAGCAAAAACGTTCAACTCCAGCGAATTACATCTGGGAACGATAACGTTCGCCATGCTGATGCCTAATTATCGCTTGACTAATTACATTCAGATGCAACACTGCCGTCGCTGACAATAACCCTAATTTATTGGCTCTCTGAGATGAATGAGTCGCTCAATGGAAATTGGAGATGGGAGTAGTCTTGAATAAAACATCAGACGCACGTCACAGACGGTTTGTTTTGATGAGATATTTGAATTTCAATATGACAAGATTTGAACTCAAAGTATGAGTGAGAATGTAACTCTCCAAAAATATACATTGTTTCAAGGAATCAATAACTCGACAGTATATTTTTGCAGCATTCTTTATGCTTTTTGATCTGGTTCCATACTGGAGATGTTGGAACATTCAAAGCGCGAGTTGTTGAACCATATCAAGCACACAAATCAGTTATTTCGCCTTCGATTCCTGAGTGTGTTGGTCTTAGTATATAACCAATACAGGGTGTGACTGAATAAGTGTGAAACATTCAAGGAGGTGATTCCTTATCGAAAAAAAGATAGGATCTTTCATATAAAGAAACTTCATTGGAGCATCCCTTGTTAAGATACAACCCCTTGAAGGGGGTACATAAAATTTGTATAACAATTTTTTCACAAGCACTGAAGAAGTTACAATATCGAAATCAACCTGACGTTTTGTACTACCAAAACACTCTTATTATTTGTTTACTATTTAAAAATTTATTTCCGATAGCCTGTTTCATTCTGAACAAAAAATGACTCTTGGGTTTTTTGCTCAAAATAAACCAGTTCGCAGCAAAGAATTATTTTACGAACAACTACAGAGATACATCGTCATGAAAGCAAACTGAATTTATTGTTATTTTGTAGTTAGTACCTGCATTAAACGATTAAAGGTTAATAACAGAACTGATTTATCAATAACAAAACACACAACATGTAGAAATCATAGTAAATGTTCAATATGTCTATCTTTAGACATTACGCATGCGTCTAGACGTCGGCGCATTGAGCCACGTATTCGCTCAAATATTCCTGGAGTCTCTGTGATCACCCTGCACGCATCGATGATGCGGTTTCTTAAGTCCTCTACATCGCGAACAGGAGTACGATAAACCAAATCCGAGAGGATTGAGATCCGAGGATCGAGCGGGCCGGTTCTGTGGTCCTCCTCAATCTATCCACTGATTTGCATATGTTCAGTTCAATGCTGACGTGCTACTTGACTAAAATGGGCGGGAGCCCCATCATGCATAAAAACACATCCCTTCTGACGCCCAAAGGAACTTCCTCCAGCAGTACTGGATGCACTTCTCTTAAAAATTGAAGGTAAGCCTCACCATTTCATCGAGGAGGTAGAAAATGAGGCCCAATTAAATCATCCCCAATAACTCCGAGCCACACGTTAAGAGAAAACTGTTGTTGATGGTTAGTTTCGACAATAGCGTGAGGGTTTTCATCAGCCCATATGTGGTAATTATGAAAATTAATAATCTTGTCCCGAGAAAAACTACATTCGTCTGTGAATTCTATCGTCTTCAGAAAGTCACAATTTCTTCTAATCATTTGCAGCATCCAAGTGCCAAATTCAAGACGGTTCGGAAAGTCTTGCGGTAACAGTGCCTGTACTCGTTGCAGATGGTAAGGGTATAGAGTTGTTCCTTTAAAATTCGAAATACCGTCATATGATCATTTACCTGGAAAGCAATCTTACTAGTACTAGTAGTAGGTTGTTCTTTAATCAAATTAAGTACTGCTTCCTCAAGCTATGGTGTTCGTACTTCTCTATGGCGACCACAATCCTGCGTTCTTTTGTCGAATGAACCATATTCTCGTAATCGTTGATGAAGTCGAGCAAATATTCTATGTGAAGGATGCTGCCGTTGAGGATACATTTCAGCATATCTTCTAGAAGCTTCTAACCCATTTTCCTGCGATAGACCGTAAACCTAATGCATATCAGCCTCATTTGTATATGCTATTTTAATAACAAGTGAATTATTAAAGTAACAAATTAAGAACAGAACAACAACACACAATTAGTATCAATTCAATTCCGGAAATTCACAAACTGACAGCGTTTTATCAATTTAATTGTCACTATCGCTAATATCGACCTACTAGATAGATTAGTTTCGTATTTTCGCATTTATGACGATATATCTGTGTAGTTGTTCGTAAAATAATTTTTTGCTGCGAACTGGTTTATTTTGGGCAAAAAACCGAAGAGACGTTTTTTGTTTAGAATCTTAACAAGGGATGCTCCAATAAAATTTCTTTATATGAAAGATCCCATTTTTTTTTCGATGAAGAATCACCTTCTTGAATGTTACACCCTGTACACCCTGTATAATCTGCCAGCCTGCATTGGACGAGTCTTGCCTCACTTGTTATTACAAGATGCTAGGAAGGTAGAATCACAAGAGTGAGTTTTTTCTAGTTATTTGAAAGGAATGTTATACTTACTGTCCTATTAAGGCTTTCGGTGGTACGACAGGGTGATACTCTAATGAGGTTAGGTTTGAAATATCCACAACCCACAGACGGACCAAGGGAATCGTAGTTCCAGGCTGAAACGAAAAATAATTCATCCCATTGATTTTTCGAAAATTATTCACCCCAGTGCATAAAAATGATGGAGAATTTGAAGACTTATTCAGTTTTTAGAGTCTTACAGCGAATATGTACAAAAGATCTTTTTAAACGAATAAAGTTAACATTTTTTTTGGTGATAATGACGCCATGTCATTATCACCATATCATTATCGCCATAGTATTTTTGACAGTTTTTTTAAACTTGATATTTTCTAAGTCATATGTCATATGAATTACAAAATTTTCATTTCGAAACTGAATTTTTTGAGTACTTTTCTTTGGAAATCATTTCAATACGTGTCGGTCTGAAAAGTTCTCCACCCAACTACATACTATCCTTTGAACTCTATTGCAACCCGTCCAAATAGTTAGGGTTAGGTTAGATCCAAACTGGGTGGGTCTATTCGACCCTCCACCGCAACCCGCAAGGGTTTATTGTGGTTCACACCAATTCACACTCGACCAAATAAACCCTGCCTCTTAACGAAGCCGATTAGTTTGTTTGGTGAGAAGTCTTTCAGGTCAGTAGTTCATTCCTACTGTGGTCCAACAAGTGTTTGGTATGAAGCTTTGAAGGGTGAATGAACGCCCTGGAGAAAGCCAATCCTGGAAGGTTCTGCCAGAAGTCCATGAATCGTCTTGCCATCCAGGTGTTCAATTTTTGTTTGGCAAAGCCTAGAGCGATGCCGATGACAGGTTCTGGTCCGATGAAGCTGCTTGCAGCACTTTCCACTTGCAAAGGAGTCAGCAGCCTCGTTGCTTTCTAGGCCAGTATGGCCAGGAATCCAGAGCGGATCTGTTCTGTCTTCCTATAGAGGAGAGGCGATTTTGCTACCAATTTAGAGGTCATTTCCAGAATGTTGTGAATTCCAGTGTCAACCAAAAGTCTGTTGCACTCTGCATTAAATTGATTTGTGCAATTGGCAATATGCACCAGTCTATTTGCAGTCCATCTAGTCTCTCTCTCCAGAAAAATGTGGAGAAGAGGTAGATCTAGAAGATCCAAATAGTAGTTGAAGAAAATTTCTGTCCTAAGAGCGCAATTTTCAGATGAGGGAACGGAAAGAAATAGCCTGGGGCTAAATCTGATGACTAAGGCGGATGTTCGTGGCTTTTCGTTATGCAACAGCTGAGGTATGAGACAGTGTGTTGTCTTGGTGGAACAGCTTCTCCACTATTCCTTTTCTTAATCTGGCAGTTTTACTCCTCTTCTAACAATGAGTTCCAGGAAACAAGAAGAGACAACCTCGAAGAACTCCCAAGGTTTGGAAAGATTATAATACTGGTCGGCTAAAGCGAAGATTGGACCTGGTTCAATCGAGACATGACCTTTGATGAAATTGTTTGTGCTTTGCACAACTTCGAAATTTCTAATATACTCACGGTTGGATATCGTACAGTCCTAGAAGCAGGAAAGGAAGGGGCTCGATGTGAGATCCCGGAGGATCCTAAAACGGATCCGGTTTGGAACCAAGGAAAGTTCATCGTCCCTACTTGGCTGTCATTAAACGTGGCGAAGAGGAGGTGAGATCCATCGTAGGAACTCCACAAGGCTTCAGGTCGCTGGAGTATATCCTCTGGAAAAAAACATTGTGAACTTGGTGAAGTGCATCTTCACACAATAAAACTGAAATGCGAATAACCATAACTAGATTCATATTATATCAGATCTGGATCACCAGTTCACTGTTTACTGTAGATGGAAATTAGATGAGCCTTCAGGAAGATTGAAACTATCGTCCAGGGGATTATAATGGAAATATTGATGATGGTGAGTAAATAGTGATTGAATCAGTATTATGCCATGCAGCTGCAAGAAATGAGACAATATAGAGAAAGTATGGAGGTTACTATACTTAATTTTGTCATAAAAAATGGGCCATGATTGTCATTGAAAAAAATTGTATATTAGCATTCTGGAATTCAGATCTGGATTTCGCGACAGATCATTGCGGAATTGTCAAGTATGTTGTATGTCATAACTTTCAATTTCCCTACCTGTGAAAGTGATTCCCGTTTCTGCCTGAAATGCGTGCTTTCGAAGATATAAGGACTAAAATTATAGCCTTCTACAACATTCTGAATCGATCCAGAACATTTCGGAACATTCTAGGGTGTCTGAAAATAATCTGGAACGTTCGACAACTCTCTTACGTAAAATGGGTAGAAGTTTCGCACTTTATGAAGTTCTAGGAGAATATTTCGTGTTAGGAATCACACGTTGGAAGGTAAGACCTGGTTAATCCTTAGCTCGCACAAGTTTCGACTTCTGAGGGTTGTCGTGCGTCGGGATGGGACAGCTAGTTAACGTAAAAACAGATTTTTTTAAAACAGATTCTGGAATGTGGTGAAAAGTTTGGTAATGATCTGGAATGTTCTGGAACGTCCTGGAATATTTCAAATCCTTGTGGAACTATTGAAAGATTCACATGTAGTGGTAGCTCCCTATCTCCCGTTAGTGAAGAAGGTTTCCGTTTTTACCTAAATTGCGTACTTTCAAAGAAACAAGGAGGGGAATTTTTGCTTTGATGAAAATGACAGAACCGTCCAGAACAGGTGATAGTATTTGAGAACATTTGGAGGCATCTAAGAACATCCATGAAAAGTGATTGGTAAGATATATGAGCTGGAAGTTTGACCTATAAATTTCTAGAACGGTTCTGAACATTTGAAAACACTTTAAAACATTTCAGAGCAGTCTCGATTGCTGTGGAATATTCTGGAAGATTGTACATCATTGTATAGGCGGAACTACCCGTTGATGAAGGTTTATGAAAGAAGATTTGGACCTATATAATTTGGCTATACCCTGAGGAAAGTCTAATATTGATGACCCCGGATTAAATTTATTCCACCGAGAGGCAACACAAAACAAATAAACGACCTTGTCGCACTGGTTTGCATTTGCGTCCAATTCATTCCGAAAATGTCACTGTTTGATGTGTATTTTGGGCTGGCGACCTCATGGTTATAGGTCGATGATTACCAACTTGTTTTGGCCTGAAATAGATATCATGCAAGAACGATTTGAGGAATTTTCATTTCACTGGAGGTGAAATTGAGAAATAGGTTGCGCCGTTTAAATGTGGCCATTATTTTGAATATCTCTCAAAGATTGTTTCTATCCGAATGGTTGAACAGATATCCTCATGAGATTCATATATGCCGTGGCCAACTTTTTTGTAGACCTATAAAAATCAATCAACTGAATAATGTTGTTATATTTGAAGATGATTCAGCAGCGTCTTATTTCAACACATTTTCGCAAAACACTCATAAATCTGGGTGGAAATTCGTGCGATCCTTTTTGTTCAGACAGAGAGATAAGTCGAACGATATACATATTGTTCGAAACAAGTTCCAAGTGGCTGCAGTACATACATTTGAAATTGAGAAATTAGTTGACGTAGCTAGCGAAATTATGTTCTTCTATGTTATAATGATCAATTCAACCACATTCACCTTTTCAAAGAAAACAGATGCCTGAGATTTTGTAGTAATCTTGGTTATCGCCGAAATTTATTCCACGTCATCGATATAACACCTTTTGATATTGGCAAATATGTGTATTGGCAACAATACTTTGAAGCGAAACTTTACTATGGACTAGATTAACGGGGAATTCTAATGCTCTTCTCACATCCCACAACAGATTCGATGTCCTCTCCAGCGTGAACCGATTCAGGCCAAGACTAACATGTAAAAATGCTGACAGCAAATGCACAACATTCTCTCATTTACTTCCAAATGCTATTATCGACCATCTCCTCTAAATTAGTAAAAAAGAAGTATACACAGTGTTTATATACTAAAAACCCTCATTATGGAGGTGAAGATTGGTCAATTATTGCAGTATTTGAGTTTCAAGGACTCAGTTTCAGTTATCAACTGATGATGCTAACCCGGTTAGGGAAACATGCTTTTAGATACAGTTCTGATGTCTGGGAAAAGTGTTTCCATCAGATTCATTTCATATCACGAGTTTCACTTATTTCATTCACGTTATATAAGGAAGCAAATTGTGTTTCCAAAGTGAAAGATTTGAAGAGTCATAAATTTCCATCGAAGACGATACATTTCAGTTCATACTCATAAATACGTCTGTTCAAATTTACAACGGAAAAGGATTTCAATAAATCAGTACCTACTCACGCTTCACCGTTCAAAAACTAATAAATCTATCCGAGTGTCTATATCAAGCGCATTTCTACGATTGAAATGCTCTTAAAGCTCTTACGGATACATCGCAGAAAATGTGGAAAAAAGTTAATCCTGGTTATGCCCGACAGCTGTTCAAATTCAATTTATGCTTCAATAAATCCCTCCGGGGCAGAACTACTCTTGATATGCTGCAATCGGCATAATCGCTGGGAAATGAAGTTACATTCAACAGGATATTGAGTTCGAGGAAATCCAGGAAAATCTGTTCTGGTGCAGATTTGGTCGAGTTTGACATATTTCCTCTCAAATATTAAATTGGTTTTACTGAATACATTATCGGAAAAACCATGATTGTTTTAGAAATACTCTGAGGTGTTCTAACCGTATAAAGAAACAAACAAGAAGATAAAACGTTCAGTATGAATAGACACCGTGTTCATATGCTACAAACCCTCAATATGGGGGTGAAGATTGGTCAATTATTGCAGTAATTGAGTTGCAAGGAATCAGTTTCAGTTATCAGCTGATGATGCTAACCCGGTTAGCGAAACACGCTTTTAGATACACTTTTGCTGTCTGGGAAAAGTGTTTTCATCAGATTCATTTCTGCTATCACACCATTTTGAAAATGGAAAATGGAGGAAAATTAGTTACATTCATTCAAATGGAATATGGGGCTTTTGAGAAGGAGCAAATGGCGTTTTGATATTTACATACATTTTTTGGGGAATGACATTCTTCTCCTCATCATTTTCTCCAACACAATATTCCAGAGAACAGGCGGGTATTTGGGAATCACCCCGGTTTCACGACACCGTAATAGAAATGTCAGTGTTCACATTTTTGTTGCAGATAACTTGAGAGACATGAAAACCTAGAAACCACGGTCAAAAAACTCAGAAAATTGCTTTGACACAGCTGTCAAAGTTTACATTCTTCGAAAAGCATAAAAACCTGCAGACCACGGCCAAAAAACCCGGAAAATATCTTCCACACAGTTATATGCGGTCGTAAGACTACATTCTTTGGTCCTATACTTATTGAAGTGCCTAAGAAAATTCACATTGTCGTTGGCGACATGTTTTCTGAATCTGTGTAGAAAGCGCTCATTTTTTACTGAAATGGAATAAACATAGTTTGCTAAAAACTCGATTTTGACGACTTACTTTTAGAAAATCACGCTATAGTTAACAAAACTCACACAAAATTTCAAGTGGTATTTATAGACGATAAATTAAAATTTGATGAGCATATAATAAATTTATGCAAAAAATAGCAACTGGCTGCTATGCAGTTCCAGTTGTTTCTAACGAACTCCAGCAATCCTCAGCCAGAGCTGTGCATTTTTCATTGATAGACTCGCACTTGAGATATGGAATTTCCTTTTGGTTCTTTTGTAGGCAGCAACTACTAAATTAAGTATTCGTTCTACAAAAAAGGGCTGTTAGATACATATGTAGGGCAAAATCACAAGACTGCAAACTACTTTTCATCAGTCAGAAAATTCTTTCTGTACCTTGTTCATTCCTTTCAGAAATCGTTTGCCAGATTCATATAAAATACTACAACTCAGTGGCAAATAATGACAGACGTTACCATACGAGAGGAAGTCGGAATTTACCTTTGCCAATCCTAAAATCAGCAATTTCAAAATTTTCTTTGATATATGAGGGCAAGAAAATATACAACCATCTTCCAATGTGCTCTAGAGCAATAAAAAATTTTGAAAAATTCAGAAAATTAATTGAAGGAGTACTTCTGCAAAAGCCTACTATGATTTAAAGGAATATTACGCTGATGTATTTTAACTCTCAGTATTTCAGATGCTTACATATCTGTAATTGTTTATTTATTTATCATCTGTGATGGTTTAAACATTGTTTTATTTATGTGTATTCGTGTATGTACATGTTTCAACCCTATAATAATTGTTCACTGTATATCGTGAGGTGTAGTTTTTGGAATTACTATGGATCTTCATGAAGTAACGGCCGAATCAATCAGAAAAATATATTTTTGAGCACTTCAAAATAGGAGTTTTTTGGTTAGTTCATGTTGAAACTCTCAAGTTTGAAGTTCGACAATTGGTCAATAATCCGTTTATATTGAGTCTACAGACACTATAAACCTAGTTTTTTTTATAAACAACAAGTTGAAAAGTACTGATTTTCATGAAAACTTTAAAGGACACAAGTTGTTCAGAATAAGTCAATCTTTCCGTTTCCAGACTTATTTTCAAGGGTTAATAGAACCTTAATCCAATTTTTTTGTGAACATCAGTACCATTGCTATGAAGAAACGTTTGACAGTACTGTTTATTCTAATTATTTATTTTGAAAACCTGAATTACCTCATTGTTTAATGGATAGCGTAAATGATTAACATAGTGACATTTATGATTTGTAGGTATCTACGTCTATTAACGGAGCTATTGGAGCTGAGGAAATTCATTAGTGAAATAGCACACCCATTCGTGTTATGAATTGCACGCTAAAAGGTAAGACCTCGTTAATTCTCAGCTCTCAGATTGATATTTTTCGACACCACTCACCTTGGTATAACCAGTCAGGAATTCCATTGTAAACTACGTCTGGTTGACCAGTGAAGGTAATTCTTGTGTCGGTTTCTTCAGTAGGCGAAGTACGATGATAGATGTCATTGTTGAATACAATCAATAGTGACGTCGTATCACCCAACCAAGTGACATATTGAAGGCGCTCCGGCTGAGCCTTTGGGGACGATTCCAATCGAACTGGAATGTGGTGACTGAAACAATAGAAAAACACGTGAAGCTTACAATAAAAAATATTCAATTCGATTCAGTTTATTGTCCCAAAGAACAACACTTTCATTATTCCCATATTTCTCCATTACCAATAACCCTTTTAATGAACATTTACCATGAGCAATATCACGGTTAAGGACAAGGTGGGTTTATACACCCTTGAAAAATTCTATCACATCCATGTTTGCTATCAACAGTTAATAAACGCAAGGTACAGCTATTAAAAAAATATTTTCATAAAAATATACCAAGCTTGCGATTGCACCTGCACGCTATCCTTGACTTTTCCGCAAAACCCGTAATTTTTCATCGGAAGGTAAATTTATTTGCGGACTTCGCATGTCTCAGATACTCCCCATCACAAATCGTATCATTTTGATCTACCGGTATTAATCGTTGGTGTGAGGTGATGACATTTACATTCAGTAGGAGGGAATCCAACTTGAAGGTTTCATATAAATTGATGAATTGGATGGAGTCTATTTCCAGTACCGGATCTCCTCACTTGGTATATTACTTTTGTTGTTACTTTGTAGTTAATATACAGGTTGAGAGACAAAAAGTTGTATTTACAATTGCTCAATCCAAAAAATGATAGAAATTGCACTAAAGTCAGTGGCGTACATTTTTAAGTAAAAATATTCATTCAAATCCTGCTCGAGACGCCACTGGACTTGATAAATTGAATCACGTTCGGGCTGAATTAGCTCCTCAATGTTATAAATACCATTGCCAATCTACAACAAAATCAGGTGAAGGATATTTAAGATATTTACGAATAACTTTTTTTTATTTTTATTTCAATACCATGTATCTTGAGAACGAAGAATTTGCGAACCCATGTTTATATGGGCATTTCGTCTTGAAATTACCTAAATAATCGTCTGTCGAATTTATGTTACATACTTAATTAACACCCTGTATACGTACAGGGTGTACATACGTACAGGGTGTACATTCAGTTAACACTGATTTTCTTTAATATATCTGAGACGTAAAATGGTACAGTGGGGCAAATGCTGACTCAAATCATTTTTCAGTGATAATAGAGATGGAATTGAAGACAATCAAAAACCAAAATGGCGGAAGGAACGATTCAGGATGAAACTTTGCGAAAGGCAACCTAGAAAATATAAGTAAAGGATATCCAAAACACTTGAAGGAAAATCAATAACACCAGAGTCGAACGACAGATTTTGGAAAATTTATAACACAAAGTTAAAGAGGTATAGGCGTATAGGTGTACCAATTAGGCGTATAGGTGTACCAATATCTGTTTCGGATAACTCAGAGATATCATCAATACAAACAATAACTTTCTTTTTTCGAGGAAGGACACAATACACTCACTGATTGACAAAAAGGTTGTTTTATTATGAGAGAACTATAGACCAAGTCGAAAGATCTTGTTAGTCCACAAAACTTAGCTCACAGATATTCAAGAGTTCATTTCATTGTTGACATATCATACAATTTATATCGTGCTTTGTGATACNGCTGCTAGCAAAAAAATCTGAATATAGAATAAGAATTAGGGTAGAAAATGCAGCCCAATCCATAAAATACATTCCAGGCAACAAAAAATGCTGTTGTGCAGTAATATGATCTCTCATAGAATTTTCCTGCAGCCCTCGACCATGAAAATTCCTAGGGTTAGCGCACCTTTATCAAGAGAAAAGTTTCCAGAAGATTTTGATTGAAGATCGTCGAACCAAATAACCTGACAAGCAAACTTTCGTTTGAAAATCCGAATCCAAATCCTTCCTCGTTACCGAAATCGTATTACGAGTCCGACCCTGAGGTTTTGTGCCCTGGCTCTGCACGCGATTTCCTGTTGGAGTTAATCAAACAGATAAGCCACAACTTGCAACGTAGTTATACTTCCCTGGTGGAACTGCAACGGAAAACTCGAAGGTTAGATAATGTTTGCAGAATCAATCACGCGTTGAATACCGAACGGAAACCAGCCAATGCATAATATCAGCATATATAATGGCATAAGTGTTTTCTCGAAAGCTACAACGAGAGAGAAATGCATTTTGTGCACATCGAAGCGGCGTTGAAATTGATAAAGAAATTAGTGAGTTTTGTTATAGGCATGCGTTGGCAAACAATAGAGACTAGTGTCAGATGAGAAGTTGGTATGGGGTCTGAGATTGAATGAAGTAAATTGTGAGTCATTGATACGTTGAACAGTTAATGGATAAGCTTCGAACTTCAGGTTCTGTTCACAACAAAAAACATGAAGTATCCAGTCCTGTCAGAAATGACGGAGTTGAAGTTGCAGTTTTAGGACATGTACAAATGGATAACAGATAGCGGCGGCTTGTCAGAGGAGGCAAGGGAGGCTTAGCCTCCCCATAAAATTTAAGGCTATTCATCGCAATACATTAAAAGATATTGACGAATAATTATGATTCATTTTTAATATAAATAGATAATTTGCCCGAAAAACACTATCACTCACTACGTAGTACGTACCACACTGTATTCTATATTAACAAACCTCAAACGCACCGCCCATGAACGAATAAAGAATAATCCATCAACTCGAAATAATAAATGCCATACGTTGCAAGGGAGCCAAGCCTCCGACCGCTTTAAAAAACACAGGCTCGACGAGACCAATCCAACCAGCGACATACGTCCCGCTTTGTAATTTCAGTTGCAGAAATTATAGCGTCAGAGGAGGCTAGCCTTCAGTTGGTCTCCGTTAGTGTACGACTGCGTTTGTTTTCTATTTAATTATTCGGACTGGATGCCGTGACGGACCGGGACTGAAAAATATTTCGGTAAATCGTTTTAGTGTTTCTTGATAATATTTGTTATTTGTTTAAAAAGCAGGCAGTATTGTATTATAGCAGTGCTTTTTGGTAATATTTTTAATGCGTTTTTGAAGTGTTTTCTTTCAATTTCAAGGTGTTTTCAGGTTTTCACTTTTCGGTAAGTTTTTTTTTTCNGAACCAATTTGGAAAAAAAAATTATGGGTAGAGGTAGTTGAGGGACAAAAGACCTTTCAAATTAGGTAATCACTCGACCCCCACGCCATTGAAAAAAATAGGAGGGGGGGTTGTATGTAAATTTGTATGTGAGTTTGTTCGATTGCAACTGAATTCAAACGAAAAGTAGGAGATATTGTAGAGAACTGATGATTTTATTGTTTGCAAGTACCTATACGAAACAATGAAACAAAAACGGTCATTTCCCACAAAAATTCCATGTTCGCGAAAGAACAACAAGTGCCTGAATGTTTATCCATGCAAAAGTATACCACTGTGCGTTATGCATATCGCCGTTTGTGTATTCGGTATCGGTTCGCAATAATGGAAAACCATTATGCATTACTATGTTTTCCAACCCCACTCCGAAAACAGGAAACTTCCAGAATGGATTCTATTTTTATAGTTTGTGGAAGCGGGAAGCCTCTGAAAATTCTCTCTCACAGACTGTGGAGAATTATTGAAATGTTGTTGTGTTTTGTAATAAGGGAGTTGTCGGCGAGACTGGTAATGGATTGTCCATTATTATATACAGTGTGAGCAATGAAGTCTGCTTACACGGATTTTCTTTCGAAAATACATTATTCGAAATTTGATGGTGTCATAATTAGTATCATTCATCGTAACTCTAGATATTTGTTTCATCATTAAATGATTTGCTTCGTGCTGAAAAACTGTTAGACATGTATATAGCAATACTTATTAAATCAATCTACTATGATAAGATCGCCTTGTGCGAAATATAAATAACATATAAATGAAATCACAACAATATCACAAAAGTAAATCACTAATAATAAGTGATAACATGAACTGAAAAGAGACATGTGAATAACAATAACCTAATACAAACGTTCAGGATATAAGAACATGGTCAATAAAATTAAATGAATCAATTTGAACAAAGGAATAAAATACAGTAGATATTAATGTTAGTCTACTCAATTAAAATTATCATCGTAGAATTCTGCTAAGTTCTCACAGAACGTATGGTTGTTAGGAGCGTGCCATAAAATTGTAGTATCATCAGCAAATGAAGTGAATTTTCCTTGAATGTTAATAGATGATAGTTCATTATTGTAAATTAAGAATGAAAGCGGGCCCAGCACCGAACCTTGTGGGACACCGCAAGTAATTTTACCTTCATTCGAGTATGAAGTGGTTTTGACCATCTGGGTGCGATCTGCTGAGTATGACAGAAACCACTTAAGACTTATTCCAGTTAGACCGTATGTACTAAGCTTCCGTGAATAAATATTTTTATTCACGCAATCAAATGCTTTGGCTATATCACAGAAGACCGCAGCCACTGTTTCTTTGTCATTTATGTTGGAATAAACATTGTAACGAAATGAAAATATGGCATCGGAAGTGGTTTTTTGCTTTTGGAAACCAAATTGGCAATCACTTCATATTTTGTTTTCATTCAGAAAGCCAATGAGTCTTGTATCAACCAATTTTTCTATCAATCAATCAATCAATCAAACATTTATTGAATCAGTTTTCTAAATATTGTTTCTTATATATATCAGAGTTTGGTAGATATACAAACTAGGCATTGTTAATACACTATAACGAATGAATAATGGCCTGCAGTTTGCACTTGAAGATGCCCCAGCCAGAATTCTGATTACATTTTTCTGAATAACAAACACTTCATCAGCTTTAGATAATAAGCCCCACTGTTCAAGACCATAGGAAATCATTAGCCATTGCAGAGATTAGAGAAATTGGACGAAAACTTGATGGACCATTGATGACTTCTCCCTTTGGCAGTGCTAACACAATCGACTTCTTCAAAAAAAACTGGACAGATTCCTTCTCTGAGTGACTTATTAATTAGACCAACTAATATATCGAGTATTCTTATAGGTCTCATCAATGGTACTACACTGAACCACGAATGCATTTCTGAGTAAAAAATAACTGTTTCGTGTTGGGATAAAAATCCAGTAATATTCAGTGAATAATAATAGTAATAATACTTTTCATTCCTTTTAAATCATACAATGGTGGTGTAGAAAACGTTAAATACAAGTATATTTATAACAACAACATGCAGAATGAAATATAATGGAGTTAAATCAAGTGAAAAACAATTATTGAAAGCGATGACAAAAACTCCCTCTGCGAGAACGATATAATACTCAATTTACGAATATTAAAGATGAAAAAAGATCCCCAAAGAGGTATGTTGCAATGTAAAACTTCTATATTGACCGCCAAATGAAATTATTTCACTGTTCTCCAATACAGCTCTCACTGCGAGGCAACTAGATGAAACCAGAGCAGAAAAACAAAGCATTCGGGATTCAACACCAGAGGCGCTGCTTCAACAAGTCAAGGTCAGACTTCATACTACCAAAATATTGTTAGAATGCCTCAAATTTAAAACTCTACTATGCACATTTTGACTTATTCCATTTCCCCACCGCCCGCCAATGTTTCCTTTCACCTAAACGCAATCTAGTTGAGTGTGCGAATAACTAAATCAAAATAGAAGGAACGGAAAAAATAATTTATGTACTCACTCTTTGCTGACGTCATAGATAGTATAGTGGGCTGTATGGGATTGCCTGAATACCTGCAAAGTAAACAAACCATAATTAGGATTTAGTGTGGGAAGTTTCCAGAACGCATAACACAAAAGGCTTAAAAAGTTTCCACGTTAACGTAGTTTGCTAGGCATAAATCGGTAGTTTATCATCCGAAACGTTTTCGTTGGGCGAGTTTATTTGTTTTGGGAAGCAAAAACAAGATTTCGAAAGTAGTTGCGGGTCGTTTTGACGCTGCTGATGCCCGATTCTGTGAAACATTATCGAATCCACCGTGAAACGCCTTCTACGGGTCTATAGGATCGACTGGTGTTCAAGGTTGTCACTAGATATTTTATTTTCGTACTGATATTTTGATAATTGTAATGTAATAATTGTAAATTCATGTGAATTGCCTTATATAGAGTGGTCCAACGAAAAGTATGCACCTTGCTTTTCTTCTTTTTTTGTAACTTGACGCAAAAATGCTCGGACAGGTCAATTTTGCTTTTGAAAGGGACACATTTTAGATGTATTTTTCTACCTGTGCCTTCAACCCCCTAGCGAGGGTGAGTAACAACCCTAAAATTTTAAATGGAAAGTGGGGTCGAGTGATATATCATTTGAAATGGCACAAAATTCGCTTTCCAATGATACCTAATTTGTTGTATTTACATGAATAGTTATAAAAAAAGCAAGAACATTCACTCGATATTTTTGGTGTTAATGAAAATGCGGAAAAAAACGGCATTTTCATCATTACTACATTCCTCAATTTCTCTCGTGCGTTTTTTGGTTCAAATAACAACAGCAGATAAGTGTACAAGAATAATTTAGGCAAACGTTCATTGATTCAGTTCGGTTGCTTTTGAAATTATTTCAACTTTACTGTAAAAATGGTTTATTCCATTCCTGAACGAGTTGAAATTGTTAAACTTTATTAT